TGAAGGAATATCATAACAAGGACATACATTCAATACAAATATCGTTAACGAATAGATTCATTGATCAGATGTACATTGGGCAATATACTATCGAGGTCAATGTCATTAAACTCAGCAGTAATATTAAACTCTAAGAATATGACCAAATAAATTTGCCAAATAAAAAATGACATATAGACGTTGAACAAGTTGTACACGGTGAAAACAATGGACGTTTCTATATACACTCTTCAATATACAATGATAGCCGTTGTAAGCTCAAACGGTCATTAAAAAAATAACAGTGGGATATATCAAAATCGAATTTGTATCGTCATTAATACTCGGACACAATATTTTCCATCATGCGTGTTCGTTTTTTAAATAACAATATCACAATTAGGGACTTTCACCGAAAAAATACAACACAAATTAGATTCCCACTACTAGAGCGCTGCTTTAAGATCTAACAATGATGGCGAGTGTGAAGCGATGAAGTTTAAAAAAACGAATGTTAATATTAAATAATAAAACCAAAACCACGTTGACCTTGTAAAATTCACTACAATACTGGACTTTGGGAATACGCGAAACGTTTAATATGAATTTCTTTTTAGTTTAACATCTGTAAGTCTAAAATTAATTATTTTGGTTTTTTCACAAAGTTACAAGTTAAATGTAGTAATGTTAACATATAAAATAATGAATAGTAGTACCACAAAGTTAGTATATATGTATAAGATCAATCGGAAAACTAAGAACATTGTCATATTATTAATTAAATTTCAAACTTCTAAATTGCTTTCAAGCGGTTAGTAGTAATACTAATTAATTAATTTATAATTTTACAGATGAGTTTTAGTATAAAATTAAAAAAATACAGTTACTAAAATTTTGTCAAATATTTTAGGTACAGTAAAAAATTAATTTTTTAATTTGAACAAATTATTACTGAAAATATAAAAAATATATTATAATATATAATATATAAAAAAATAATATTATTAATTATTTTAAGCATGTTCTTTAAGATATTTGAGGAAACCTAAAATGTACAACTGAATTTTAAAAAATTGATATCAAAACGCTCAAATTAATATAACCCAACCTAAACTTATACATAATTATCTTTTATTTTTTAATTTTTACAATCAATTTTGATTGATTCATAAAATAAAAAAACACGCATCAAACTTCTTTCATTTTTTTCAAAATTCCAATAGTTTATATTGTGGTAAAAAAGTAACATACAAATCTTCAACTAATATGTTGCGTTAAGTGACAATACGAACCCGGATGTCATTTTATTTCCTTCGTGCGATGACAATAAATACATACATTTTTAACAAGTGCAGTTCCCATAGAAAGACAATTGATTGTGAACTTATCGGTACAACGAGTTATACAACTAGTAAGAGTGGCTGTGCGATTTTTTAGGTTCGAGGGTTCTGGGCTATTGCGTTTATTGTATATAAAGTGGTAATCCACTTTTTTGTTTACGTATACAGCTTCTACTTTTCATAAAAATTCACAAGAACACACATATACACAACTTCAATAAGTTATTAAATTAGATACACATACTCAGTGGTTACTGTTTTGTATTTTACACTATACTACAGACACAGACAGGAGGTACCTTATTTAAAATACTCGAGGCCATCACGACCGACCACGGAAATACATATGAAACACCCTATTGGTTAATACACACTTACATAGTTATTGAAACATATAACGTGACTACAACCACATCATTAAAAATTATGACGCTAGACAAAACACCACTAATTAGAAAAACATCAAAGTAAATAAACTGAAGTAATTAATAAGTGTGAATATTTTTTAAATTATCAATTCATTTAAAATTAAAATAATTTTGGAAAAATACGATCACTACTATTTATTAACTTAAAATAAAAATAAAACTAATAAAATATTTTAAACAGCTTATCTAAAATTAGACAAAATAAATATTAAAAATACAAGAGGAATATATAAGAAGTATAAATAAAACAACAGCTTTTATGGAGAAAATTTATACTACTTTGGAAAACATTTTTGCTTGCATAAAATAATTACAATAATACACCCTATTTTCATTTAGTATTCTACACGTTTAATGATAGAGGCGTAATTAGAACTATTTTTAAGGGTAGGGGACAACTCAATTTTGTTTACTATGATAAGCATGGTAAAGAAGATTTTCGGTTAAAACAGTAAAATGATGACCGAAAACTAAATGTTATTAAAGACATATTTTGTACATGTCGGCTTTATAAAATATTGTAGCACTTGTTTAGGTAGTGGAAGCAATCACTCTTATGGTCTCCATATGATACACCCTAATTAAAAATTGCAAATAATTTAAGGAACAGTGAGGCTAATATTTCTTATTTTTCAAGAATTGAAAGCTTGTTATAAAAAATTACATTATACTTGTCCTTAGATTCAATGATGTAAAAAATAATATTGAATTTTATTAACCTTAAAAATTTTCTGACCAATTATTCATAACACAAATTTAATCATGAAATAAATAATTTATGTACCATTTTTCAATATTTGTATTTAAAAATATTCAAATTTATAATACCTAATTTAGCATTTAGTAAATATAATCTTTTATGCTAACATTGCCATAAAAAATACTTTAATATCATACCTTATTCATTTACCTTTTTAAATCTAAGAAAATAGTTTATTTTATAGAATAGACTATTTTTATTATTTATTTTACTCTTCAAACCTAAAGAACATGTCTGATTTTATAAATGCGATTTTTGTGTTAACGTGTTATAAACTCGTTTATTTTTAGAGGACAAATCATTCAAAATTAATTTATTTTAATTATCTTACTAAATTACTATATTTTTAAGTTACGAATGAAAACAAAGCTATCAACTAATTTTATAACTTGACTTTTAATGCTAATTCCATTAAAAAATAATAGTATAATGTATCTAAAAATCATACATTTTACTGTTCTTCCAAAATTATGAACGGATACATCAAAGAAAAAAATCAATTTACTAAAAATACACCAAAGAATGCTGACATTTTTTCTTTCAGCATTAAATTTATGCAATTCAAATTCAATGAAGATAAAATCTTTTCTTTCGATTTAATTTAGTTTTGAAAAAAAGACAACATCCTGTTCGAATAGAATAAAATATATTATGAAATACACAATAAGATATGATACCTATGAAGTGACGTATTTCTTGTACTATTATTAAAATGTCAAACATCAGATAATCAATGTTAAACTGTAATACCAAAGAAATTCGTCATTTGAATTTTTTTAAGCCAGAGCCTCAGCAAAACTAAGAATTTAAATACAGAATATAATAATGCTTAATTGTTTTTAGCTGTAAAATAATTTTTAGCTGTGAAAATGTATCAATATTATTTTTAATTATAACAAGTAAAAATAATTTTAAAATTAACATAGAATTCATCTTGATGATTAGTGATAAGCAGAATAAAACACAAAAAATATAATGAACAGATTTTAATAAATAAATAATAGTAATCGCAGGTTTTTAAATATATGTGGATAATAATCGATTATGTATAAATTATATGTATAACTATATACTATTATATGTATGACTATGTATGAAGTATACATGTCCATAATATCAAAATAAATACAACATTGTATTGTATCAGTAATTAATAATTGATATTTTATTTTTAAGTATTAGATTTTCATCAACCAACATTTGTTTTGTTTTTGGTTAATTTATTTGCTGATAGTTTCTTTAAATAAACCTCTATGAATATATTTTAGTCTTAAAATCCGAAATTCCGGTAGAAAGTATATACAGACGATGAATTTTTTTTATACCAGGAATATTTATTAAATACTTTAGAGAAATACTGAACTGTAGATAAACCAGACTCATCTTTTTTTGTAATACTAGTCTGACGAGTAATGATTTTTATTATTAAAAACATAGTTGACCCCAATTCCCTAAATAATTTAGAAAAAATTAAGAAATTATACAATAATTAACGTTATGTCAAAAAATAGCCTTAATACATTCAATAATGAACTTGTGCATTTATGCGCTCTAAAAAACAACCTAGTAAAACCAATAAATATTTTATCCATATATTTGAATGAATGAATAGTTGTATATATTTTATAAAATACATGAAATTATTCATTTATTTTCTTGATAAATGTATTAATTAAATTTTTTGTTTCATCAACAAATAAATTGTTCATTTGATGAAGTTTTTATTCTTCTAATAAAAAAAAAGACTTATTAAACAAAAAATGATAATTTAAATGTATATTGATAAATAATTAAGATTAAGACCCCAAGTAGTTGGGATAAAGGCGTGGAGAATAGAGACTAAAAATGGGCGTAAGTTTAATACTTGAAATAACATATTTCAGTTGTTTCTTAGGAAAAAATTTAATTCAATCTTAAATAAACTACTAATATTAAATTAATCTTAACCATGTTTGTTAAAAATATTTCCTTTAGCACTTGAATTCCATAAATATAATTTATATTTCTTAATAAATCTAATATTATACCATATTATATTATATTATACCAAATCGAGATAATAAATTTTCAATATTAATTCTTTAAATTAAATTATTGATACTTATTAAATTATTGACTCTTTAAATCATATAATTTAAATTAAAATATAAATATCTTTTTTAACTTTTAACCATTAATTTTGAAAAAAAAGTTCAATTATTTTAATTCTTTTAGACGAAATATGTATTGAAAAATAATTATTAAATATGCAATACTATAGGTTTGATTTTTAATATTCAATTTAGACCATAATTATGATAATAGATTATTGTGTGTTATTTATGGAATAAACAACAATAGCTATTGATCCAAGTTCAGTTATAACTTTCAATACAATATATACTCTGGCATTAAATCCTTAACGTAAGTCTTTACTCTCATGTTGTTTAGTAAAAATTTAACACTACCTAACTAATACAACATTACATACAAAACATATAATATTCAACATACCTCTTCGGGTTTTGGATGTAAATGACTGCAATGTCTTTGAATAAACATACCAGTAGCTGAATAGATAGACATCAGTAATACAACAATGAATTCGATTTTCCATTTTACTTTAACAGGCATAATTAAATTTTAAATTAGATTACTGATACACGAAAACAAAACACATTTATATATAACGTAATAGTTAAATTAATTTAGTCAAGCATTAAAAATATATAAAATAAAACTCTATCGCATGTTGGAACAGTTTGTCTGAAATATCAATGCAAACGACAGTCATACACGAATGACACCTGATAAGATACTAAACTCTAAGCCATACGACGCCGTTGATAACCGATAGAAGAGGATACCTTTCAGTTATACAACATGCGGCAGCTGTTTAGTAGTAAATGAAGTGCGCAACGAAAATTCTCACACCTTTTTTGATCAATGAACCGTATTCAGACATGAAATTATAGTCGAACGTAAAAATACGTTTTTTTATCAATTGTTGTCTTGAATTATTATTATCTCTCCTATAACATTAATCTTGGTCACTGTGTTCTATGCCTGATACCTGCTAACAACGGCCTTTACTTCAAAATATGAAGAATATTATGAGATGGATATTACATTGAAATTTTTGTATTGTTAATCTATTAAACATTTTTTGTTTTTTTTCAATCAACTCTTATTAGGAAGCTATGGACTTTGATAGTCCTGATGTTGAAAAAGATTTTCCAGGCTTATACGCATCCTCCGATGTAGGACATAAAGATAGTGATGGTAAAAACATTAACAACTAGTTGATTCAAAAATATTTATACATTAATATTAATTTTAATTTTTTATAAGGTAAACGCAAAGACAAAAAGGATCGTGGATATGCAGCATTAGAAGGTGAAAGTTCTCCTGAAGAAGAACCTAATGCTAAGTAAGTCAAACACAAACATGTTGTTGTTTGTTATAATACATTTTAGTTTGAATTCCAAATTAAACTATTCAATGTTTGTTGTGATTTTTTTTTTAGAAGTCCATCCAAAATTAAAAAAATTAAGCCTTTTAAGTTTACTTCAAAAAAGGAAAAACATGATAGAATCAAGGACAAAGATTCGAAAGAAGAACATAAAGATAAAAAAAAAGATGGAGAAAAAATGAAAAAAAAGGAAAAATCAAAAGAAAAAATAAAAGACAAAAGGAAGCAAAAAAATATTAATGGAAAAACTGAAATAGACACTAGTGCTTTATATGGTAAATTTATTTTATTTCAATTAATTTAATTTAATAATTATAATAATATTTAATTTTTCTCTAGAGAACCAACCAATATTTGGGGTGCCTTTAGAATTATCATTTGAGCGAAATCCATGTCATGATGATATTCACTTGCCATTGGTTCTGAGAAATTGTATTGATTATGTACAACTAAATGGTAAAATTCATAAAATAATCAGTTACAACTTATAAATTAAAGTTGTTAGTATAATTTTTAATTTTCATCAAATAGGGTTGTGTACTGATGGTGTTTATAAAGTTCCTGGCACAAAATCTAAAGTACAAAATCTTAAAATTCAATATAATAGACGTCAATCTGTAAATCTGTCAGAATATGATTTAGCTATTGTCACAAGTTTACTTAAACAGTATTTGAGGTATATGTATATCAATTTAATTTTTATCAGATTAAATTACTACTACTTAAATGTTTAGTTACATTAATAAAATTATTTAATTATGAATCTACTATTTTAGAGAGTTGCCTGATCCTATTTTAACAACAAATCTGTTGTCAAAATTCGAAAGTTGTGCAGAATCAAGAAATGTAGACTCTACTAAAATATTGATATCTGAACTTCCCAGTTGTAATAGAGATACATTTACATGGTTAATAGTTCATTTTACCAATATAATTGAAAATGTAATTATATATTTTATTATACCTTTTATTCTAATGTGAGGTGTGTAAAGTATATACTCTATTTTTATTTAATTTAATTTGTCATGGAATTATTTGTGTACTATTCTTATGATAAATAATTATCATATATAACATGAAAACTATCATAGTATCTGCATCTATACTAAAAAGTTTTAATAAATTATGATTCTACTTTTCTTCAATGAATGGGCAAGTGTGATTTTACAAATTAAACAATTTTATTAAATATATTTTAAATTATTTAAGCAAGTGGGGTATTCCACATGTTGATAAAATTTATTTAACACAAATATAAAATAAATTTTATCACATTTATCTTGGTATATAAATTTACTGGGTCAACTTTGAAATTGCATTTAAATAAATTATAATATTATTTCATATCATTAAATATGTTAAAATGTAAAAATATACAATAATAACTGTAGTTCATCATTTAATATGATATCAATAATGTGTATATTAAAAATTCATTTTGTTGTTGATATGATTAAATTATTATTATAGGAAAAATATACTAAGATGAATATTGTAAATTTTGGCACTGTTCTCTGTCCAGTTTTACAAATGTCATCATCTCTATTCTCATTTGTTATAAGTAAAAGAAATGAACTTTTTCCCAATGCAATATTACCTAAGTATATACCACCATTGAGATGTGCTAGTCCATACTTACCTTCTAGCAAATATGAAATGTCAGTTGAGTTGAAAAAACAAGAATCATTACTTGGTTATATACATAGAGAAATGAATGCAGGTTTTGTATCCAAAACTAAAGAAGAAGAGTTATGGGATGTTCAAAGAATTATTACTCAGCTGAAAAGAAAACTAAAAGTTATAGAAAAAGACAGTAACAAAACTGATAATGAAAAAAAAACAACTTGTATTGGAACCTATGAAGAAGTCGGTACACAAACTGTGTTAGATAGACAAAGCTCTGAGAATAGTACTTCAGGTCATGCCGAAGTTGTTTCTATTACTAGTGATACTGCTAACACATCAAATTGTGAAGATTCATTGGTTGATGAAGAAATTCAAACTTCAACATCTGGTAAAAATTTTTATTATTTATCTAGGCCTTGCACCTGATTAGGTGCAAGTATATGTATATGTAGCCATACATAACTAAGGCCCAGACACAAATGTCTTAAAAAACATTAAAAAATTTACTTGAAAACTGTTAAATTTGATACATTTAATAGCCTTAAGTATAAAAACACTCTAAAAAAAATTTAAATGACATAAAATATCAATATGGGTATCATCTTTTTTTGCGCATATGAATTTTTAAATCAATTTTTCTCTTTAATTCGTATGTAATAAATGTTATAGTTGTCATATATAAATTGATTGGATTATTTTATATTTTTGTTTTTTATTATATTAGATATTTTTATATTTTATTTTTGGTTTATTAAGTATACAAATATATTCTATTAATTTCTTTTAAACATGTTTATAATACAAAATTTGTTGATATATTTTATAAAATTTATTGTTATATTTATATTTTGTTTGAACTTATGCTTTATAATTAATTTACTGTTCACTTGTACTTTTTCGCTTTGAATTTTTTTTTTATGTCCATACAGAGTTAATATTAAGTTATGATTTTTCATTTGCGAATAGCAATATATTTTGTATTTTGCTGATTGCTACTAAATGTTTGATAGGTTATATATTAATTTCAGCACAGTTATAAATATGGAACTATACAAACATAGATCTATACAAACATTATTAGAACAATATAGTATTAATAATCTTATTTATCTCATATATAATGTATATATGTCTATGTGTTTATCGTGAAAATTGGAATCCATCTATAACAACTATGCTGTCCAACATCAAATCACAGTAACCAAGATTCTTATCAAAATGAACTTCTTTACTAGTCCCATAATAATAACCTGATGATTATTCTATAATATTATGGCATTTATTATAATTAGAATATTATTAAAAATTGTGTATACTCTGGGTATATTTTAGAGAGATATGTGCAATTACCCCCTTTAATGAAATGTGGTTCTAAAAACTTTTTTTTTTAATCATCACTTTGATTTTTAGTAAAAAAAATTCTATAGAATGTTCACCAAAGTAAAAAAAAAAATTAAATACCCTTAATTAATTAAAAATATATTTTACATTTTAAAATACCTTATTTAAACACAATATTTGAATTAAAACAATTAGAATAAAATATTTAAGAAGTATAACTTATTTTCTTTCCTCCTTAAAAATATTTTTATTTAAAAATATAAGTAATTTTAAAAATTTACTTTATAATAACTATCATTAAATAATAATAATGGGTAAACAAAACCTGTATTTTCCATATTAAAAATTAACTAGATTATTGAACCCATAACTTTTTTTAATTAATCCAAAATTAATATCTGTATAAATATTTTAGGTGTAAAGCTTTGTTATTTACTTTTTTTTAACATTAAAGGAAAAAAATTATTTTTATAGATAGTGATAATGATGAACTAGTATTACAGTACGAATCTGAAGAACTCTTGTCCATGATTGCAAATTTAAAAGATAGTATAATTCAAGAAAAATGTGAAATTAATCGACTTGCTTCAAAATTAAAATCTATTGGAAAATATGTTGATATTAGGTATGGAACCCAAATAATAATATTTATCATTTTATAATGTAAAATTTTACTATAATACCTCTCAACAAATCAAAGTTATTTGTTGTTTCAAATATATAACAATATATTACTATAACTCATTAAAATACAAAAATATTCAAAATTTTTATTGTTGTTCATGTAAATTAAAATTAAATAAAACTAAGTATTTATGAGTAAACTTAATTCTTTATTAGATCAACTTATTTACTATTAAATTTATGACAAATGAATTAAAGCAATTAATGAATAATAGACAATGTAATTTTCTCTAAAACCAATAATAATTTTAAAAAATAACTCAACTTTAATATTAAGAAAACTTTTTTTTAATTTACTTATACTAATGTTTTGATATTTTATATAGGAATTATTTTATTCAACCAATACAAAAAATATCACTAGCCAATAATAGTTTAGTAAATGAGTACAAAATATTAGAAGTAAGCATATACAAGTATATTTAAATTTAATTAATCATATTAATAATGTTTTTTTGTACTGTAGTTACAAAGAAATACCCTGTTAAAGAGTATAGTTGAGGAACGAGAAGCTATAATTGATCTTAAAATTCAAATAAAGTTGGCACAGCGAAAACACATAGCACTTGCTTGAAAAAAAACATAATTGAAATATATCTTTATTATTTTATAATTGAGAAAAAAAATGCCAAAGACAAAAAATATTTAATGAATTATATAAAGTATTTTCAACTCTAAATTTTATTTTTAATGTTAAATAAATTTACTTGAATTGTAATATTTAAAAATCAAATTAATTCATATCAGTTTCATAGATATTTTTATGTACAAACATTTTGTTGATTTATTTATTTGTTGACCAATTTTACTTAGTTGAACTGATTATTAAATTTTGTTATTTTATGCAATTTGCACATATTTTGTGAATATTCGTAAATTATTGTGATAAATTTATTGTAATATCTATTCCAGCTAACATATCTTAGTCATTGTTTATTTAAAAACAAATAACTATTACTATTAAAAAAATAAGGTAGTATCAAACTATGTATTTATTTAGTATATTATAAACTTTTATTGAAATTATGTATTCCTTGTTTAAGATATTTATTTAACTATTATTTTAAGCAAAACATTAAGTGTATAAGTAATTAAATTAAATATTTACGATAAAATAAATTATTAAATATCAAACTATCAATTGCATTTATCAATTATTCCAGTTAACATGAAATTCATGTTTTATGTTAAAAGTTACTTTTACTTAGAGTACAACATTAGTTGGAAAGTGTTTAAAAATAACAACAACAAAACATTACATAGTGATTAATTTGTCATGTTGGTATTTTCAGTATATACATGGGAGGTTTCAGCTTATTCTGGTGTATATTTATAATACATAGTCTGTGGAACATGAAAACTCTTTGTATTAAAATGCTTGTTACTCAATAAGTACTTATTCTTAAGTTGTCAATCCATCAAGATTTTTATCAAAAAAAAAAAAAAAATGCTACAAAAATGTCCATTTTGACATTTTGAATAAATACATAATTTATTAAAGACAAATAATAATAAATTTATTTTTAATTAATACCAAAACTAAGATATTTAAAAAAAAAAGTAATACAAAATATTTGCTAGATCAAAAGTTATTTAATTTTTCATAACATTATAGAACACTTTGTAAACATATGTATTTGTGCAACAGTTAAGGGTTATACTAGGGTTCGAATTTCATTGCATATTTTATTTTTTATGATTATTTTAGGACATACTTTCCAAGCACAAAATTCATTTTATGTAATGGCGAATTTTTTATCTTTTTACAGTATTTTTATATGACAATTTTAGACGTTTTTAAGGACATTTTTTAGGATATTTAAGTCGGATTTCTAATTATAATTTATACAATTTGGACTCTTGCGAAATGGACCGATTAGTGTATGTGACTCGCCAATGCTACGCATTTATATTAGGCTTACGGTTGCTACAGAATGTTTGAATTTACCAAAAACGAGTGTTACCGACAGTCTGAAGATAAACAATCGTAAATGGTAAGATTCCAGTACTACAAGTCATTCAAATGCACCAGAGGATCAGTTTTTAGGTTGTACGCATAAAATTTTTCAGGTAGTGCTTAAGTACTATCTGCAAAATTTGCAAAATTTAAACGATTAGCTTATGAGCTGTTTAGGCACTATTATAATAAAGTGAATATCGCTGGATGATGATTGAAAGGGGTAAATTTTTCTTTCTTCTCAAAATGTTTTTTTGTATAACTATATAATTGGAATAGGATGGGGATAGAATAGAGCTTTTGAGCGCCCCACTTATAAAAATTAATATTTAAGATGAGCGTAACCCTTTTTTTTTTATCAATTTTCTTATTCATCAGAAGAATCCTTTGAGCTAAATATAGGTGTGCAGTATTAACAATATTATACATAGAATAAATGAGAATAATTTCACTTTTGTAATTAACAATTAGTACATTGTACAAAATTTAATTCTTATTTTTGAAAATAAAAAGACATTAAAATTTAATAACTTATTTATTAAGTTATTCAACAAAGTTGTGTTCAATGTTATCATAGCAACAACACTTACAATTATACAACATGAATAGTATTGATTATTTTTGTGTTTTCTTTACTTTTAGACAATTACTGAATATCTATGACTTCGTCTTTTTAAGGAATAAGTATCTCTCATTTCTTTCGTTGAATTCATAGCTGAATAATCGATAGGGAAAAAATCAGAAGTTAAGCCACATCTGCCGAATAACCATTGTCCTGATCCATTAGGTTTGGTACCCAGTAACCAGTTAGCAAAGCATAGACTCCATACCTCATAGTCCAAAAGAAAATCACCATTCTATAAAAGTACAATTAAAAGGATATTAATATCAATAGCGTGTTTATAATACACGAAAAAATTAAACATGAATATTATATCAAGTGTTTAAAGTGTAGATGACTTGAATACATACATAATGAAAAATATTTCTTTTATCAGAGACATGTCTATAAAAAAGAATTACTTTTTTATAAAAAAATAATTTTTAAATATATTTCAAAATTCGCCACTAGGGGCTAATGTTTTGCCATATTTCCTACCATCATTAAACAAATGTTTTAATTATAACATGCTTTTTTAGATATTTCAATGAAAATACAGTTTGTACATATTAATATCTATCATATTCAATGACTTATACAAGAGTGAGGTTTAGGGGTTTAATCATCCCATTACGAAAAATGTTCCTACAATAACAGTCGTAATTTTCCCAACAACCAAACAGAGAATCCTGGAGAAAGTAATAACTTTTCTTGTTTTGTAAGAGATTATTATTTTATTTTATGTATACAAAGTTTAACAATAAAATATGATAATTTTATTTTAGCCCTAATTCTATCTAAAAAACAAAATTATACTTGGCTATAGAAGCTTTTTTATTCATAATCAAATAACATTAAATGTTGTCAAATTTTTTTGTCAATATTTATTGCAGTACTCACTGATGTTAAAAACTTATAAACATTGTCAATCATCGGTTCTTTTGATTCTTCACAATTTGAATCTAAAAACGTACAGTAAAACCTTTGTAAATTTTCTCTTTTAATTACACCATTTCCTGCAAATAAAATATAATTTAAATGGGTAAAATCAAATTTAGTTATTTTTATCATGCTAAATAAATTTAAAAAAATAGTAACTTATCGATTTAGACAATTTTTAATAACATGATAGTTAATTAATTTAAAGTAACATTAAATAAATACGTCAGTATCCAATGAGTTTTAATTCAAATTTCATTATTATTTAATAATTAGTAGAAGATATTTATAATCCAAAGCATTGCATTTCTAATTCAGTAAATTTAATTTATAAGTAACTGTATGTATGTTGATAGTTTAAATCTAGACGATTACAAAACCCTATTTTCTAATATGAATTATGCAAACGGATTAACATGTAAAGCGTTATGGCTATACGTATACCCAAATGTAAAATTAAAAAATCCCTTCACGTTGTACATTTCAAATGAGGTGAGAGGTAATTTTGTTAGTATATTATATTTGATAATTATGTGTTGCTTAACAACTATTGATGTGACCTACATTGGGATAGAATAACACAGGTAAGGCTTTATGTTGAATTTTCATATAAGTTTATAAAATTATAACACTACAGAATTACCCGAATCCAACGATTTAAACAAAATGTTCATTAGATATTTGAGCCACAACGGTAGATTTGATATAGTTGAGCATCCGTTTAAGTAATGTTGCCATGTTTTTAACCAATCGTCCATTGATAAGCTAATAAATGCAACATCTGCAATATGAATAATAGAGTTATAAAATTTTATTTCACGATTTTTATGTAAAATTACAATAATTAATTAAATATTTATTAACTTTGGCCTTCTTTGCAAGGAAAAAATACTCGAACTAATTCTTCTAATACTTGTTTCGATATTATATATTCATGGCACTGGGGTGACCAATCTGCGAACCTCCTCAGTTTCTGTACAATCAAAAATAAATTTTCAAATTATTTCATGTTTCAGGGAAAAAAAACAACATCTATAATAAAATAATTTTATTTACAAACTGCTCAAACTAATAATTACTAATAACTTTTTTTTAATTAAGTCTATACTGAAAATAAGTAGAAAATTTTATTTCAAAATATACAGCAGAAAAAAATTAATATTTTCTTACTAGTATACACATTTTAAATATTTTTTTCTAAAAACCTCATTATATTAAAAATATTTATTAATTATTAATTTATATAATTTATATTTGTATCATATAAAAAGACGGTGTGGTCGAGTCGGTAACGCAGCAGTGCTTGACGCGCCTGGTCAAGGTTCGAAACTCGGTCACCGGATGCTTCATATGCCGAAAGAAAGACCAGTTCAGTAATTGGAGTCGCCATCCCTCTCTCAACAACGGACAAACCACCAGTACCCCTAAGTATCAACGATTAAGAAACCTCCTACTATGAGGATACCATGTAATGGCCTAATAAAACATTAAAGAAATAAAACATTTATATAAATATATATTTTAATAGGTCTATTAAAAATGTAATCACAGTATCTCAATATTATAGAATAGTAATAAATAGTATTACCAAATACTTTTCTGAAAAGTAAAACTGATACTATTAAATATTTGATACTTAAATATAAAACACTAATCAATTAAATTATAATAGTAAATAATAAGAAAAAAGGCTATCTACCTGATCACCGATTTTATGGAGGCGCTTTCCCGACGCGGATACGCTGGCGTGATAAGATGGGTCAAAATCGATATACACTCGTTAAAACTTCTATTGGTGCCGATGCACGTGAACGACAACCATTGTGACATCATGACTGTAGTCGATGTACCCGAAAAGACGATCACGTTATTCGACAGTCTCAACTCCTACAATGGCCCTTACCATATCGATTAGATATTGAGACAATATCTAATCGAATAGGAGGTCGAAAACTTCGGATATTCTTCCCAGTGGACTTAAAGGTACCGAAAAGCTGTGCAACAACGCAACGGTTATGATTGCGGACCGTTCTCTTTGGAGTTGGTCGAGAAGATGTTCAGAGACCACTGCACGCCGATCAACCCGCTCGAAATGCCTTATGTCCGGTTGAGGCATAAGTACGAACTAGAAGCCGGCACATTATTCCAATTTTGACGTTTATATAATATTTTTGCCCATCATCAAGATTCACGTTTACCAATCACGATCTTATACGACACACCGATTTCGACTAATACCGATCAACTCATCAATACCCATGAAAATATGTAATATTCACTTTATAACTCTATTTTTCCGCCCCAGTCGCTGTACTTACAATTTACACTGTCGTGTTTAATCAAAGTACACGCTGGAGATGGTTTTTTTTTTCATTGGAAACACGTTTTCTACGATATTCTTCAATGTGCAACATTGAGTTTCTAATGTGTGAACATCGAATTCGATGTTATTCGATTTCGTTAGAAATATTATACATTTTTTATTTTTTTATTTATTTCAATTTGTCTACTATAACTTTATAATAGTACCTCTTTTGTACATACAAATTCATTAATTATTGTAATTTTTTTTTATACATATTGTGTGGTTGTCATTTTATATACTTTTAATATATGTTATTTCTATAATGTTACAATTGCATTCGCAATCCTATTTCAAATTTTTTTTTTTATTATTTTCGTTGTATATATGTTTGTTTTCTTGTGTGAATATTTTTTCTTTCTAATTTGAACTTGTATAGATTTTATATCTAATATGATATATGTGATTTATTATTATCAATATATGTGTATAATTTTATTATTTTTTTTAATAAAACTTACTTGTGAAAAGCGTGTGGTCTTTTAAGTAACTAGCGATATTTTTAGATATAATTTTTTTGATAGCCTATAGTACCCTACGGCATCAAATTACTAACCACGAATCCAAACGGATATTGCGCGGAATAGATGGCTAAAAAATGCAAGAGTTTTTCTATAATTATACGTTTCATCAAATTTTGACCACTGTAAGACAATTACGATATGTATACGAATACTGTTTGGCCACCAACCAACCGTTAAGAAATATCATTACTTTTGCAAACAAAATTATCATATTAATCTATTTTATATTATAAAAATAAAATCTAATTAAGAAAAAATACTAATTGATAACGACCTTTGGTCCTTTTTTTCCAATATTTTAAAATAAAGAATGATGGTGAGGGCCAAGTATTGTTTTAATTAGATATTTCTTGACCGAATATCTCTTTTCCCAAACAAATATTAAAACTGTTAATTACTTTTGGTGTAGTGGTCCAAATATTGTTAATGTCTTAATTAGATCAATTTTTTATTTTATAAGTTTGGTAAATATGTACGTTTCCATTTTTAAAAATAAAGTGGACGCCCTTTTAAGGTATAAATATTAATTAAAAAAGTAATTAATAAATCGAGAAATATATGTAACAATGACCAGAAGTAATTATCTTAACATAATTATTATTTTAATTGAAATCAAGTGGCTATCGTTGATGTACATAATATGATTTAGGTGATTTATTATTATTTTTAAATTAAAATTATTAATTTAATTTATAAAACAGGTGCAAAAAAATTTGTAATGCAAGATAAAATACTTAAAAAATTTAGTAGGGGAAACGGGAGCTTGTTGACCCACTTTTTACAATCTTTGCTTTCGTATCAGTAATATTTCAGATATAAAATTATTAAATCTGCAGAGGCATAGGCTATTAAATACGAATGTAAAAAAATAACTTACTCATTATTTATATTAGTTTTATCTACAAATTTATAAAATGTAAATATCACAGATTAACTTAAAGTCGAATATAATAATTTTTCCTTCGAAAAACATGATTTTAAATTAATTTAACTTTTCTTGAATGGAAGGAGCTCAAAAGACCCCGTGCAATAAAGGATTATACAAAACAAAAGAAATCATTTAAGTCATCTAGCTGATAATTTCAACGGCCACGCGATGTGTTTATCGTGAAACAAAGTGTGTAAACTGTATACTGTAATTATTTATATTTACTTTTGTGCGAATTTGCTTGGATACCGAATAAATGCACTTAGAGTAAATAATTTTGAACGAATCACGGCGATTTTTGTTTTGGAGAGCAATTAAAATTTTTTTAAATTCTCGTAAAAAATGTACGATTTCTCTGCATACAGCCTTTACCGTTGTATATTGAATCATTTTCGGCAGACGAAAATCACGATATGTATATAAACACCGTATTGGCCACCGATCGGTCAGAAACGACCAATATTGCTAAAATGCCCTACGGCGTCAATTACTAACCGTGAATCCAAACGGATCTTACGCGAATAAGATTGCTACCAAACCGGAAAAGATCGCTAAAACTGACATGAATATGAAATCAAAGCCATCGACTCCCGGACTGATAAAAAACAAACGAAACAGTACTACAGATTATGACTTTACGTTTACAAAAATCAAAAGGCTTTCGCAGGGCACTCCATATTCTTGCATGTCCAAAAAACGAAAGCTCACTACGACTACCGACTACTATGCGACCAAAAAAATGAAGCACACTACTGACGACGACATCGATAAGCCCAACGGATTGGTCTTGAAAGTCTGGTAGCTCGACAAGACACCATCGTTTTCCCTCGAGTACACAGTTCGAATAACACGATTACAACAACTGAATCAATCGACATAGACTCGGCCGAGAGCGATACTGATGGTTCCTCCTTATGCGGTAAACGACTAGTCCATTAACTAGACTTAAATAAACGGCATTAAAATATATAATAGTATTTAAAATTAGATAAATTATAAAAGCGAAAAACTAATCGATCGGATTAAAAAGTAAATAATTTGGCTTGTAGACGTGCCGTCGCGAGATTTGAACGAGAAAAAGAAGAACCCGCCCTCGTAAGATTCGTTTTTCAGTCCGACGACGTGGTACAGCGGCAACACAATCAACGCGTAATTAAGTCTGATTGCACCGCGTTCGCAAGGCAAAGTGCACTACCTGATCACCGATTTTATGGAGGCGCTTTCCCGACGCGGATACGCTGGCGTGATAAGATGGGTCAAAATCGATATACACTCGTTAAAACTTCTATTGGTGCCGATGCACGTGAACGACAACCATTGTGACATCATGACTGTAGTCGATGTACCCGAAAAGACGATCACGTTATTCGACAGTCTCAACTCCTACAATGGCCCTTACCATATCGATTAGATATTGAGACAATATCTAATCGAATAGGAGGTCGAAAACTTCGGATATTCTTCCCAGTGGACTTAAAGGTACCGAAAAGCTGTGCAACAACGCAACGGTTATGATTGCGGACCGTTCTCTTTGGAGTTGGTCGAGAAGATGTTCAGAGACCACTGCACGCCGATCAACCCGCTCGAAATGCCTTATGTCCGGTTGAGGCATAAGTACGAACTAGAAGCCGGCACATTATTCCAATTTTGACGTTTATATAATATTTTTGCCCATCATCATTTATTATTATCTATAGATATGTACATTTTATTAATAAAAAAGTGATCTTATTTTCTATAATTATACTGAATTTCTTTAATATTATTTTCAAATTATTAAGATTTCATTAGTAATTTTATATGTTTTCCAATAAGCGGTTCAAATTTACACTTTGTCAATGAGTGTAATTTTTTCTTTTATTATTAAAATGTGGCACTTTCAGATTTTGCCGAATTTAAGTTTATTGATAATTAAGTAATCTATGTTAACTTGCTGCAGTATCCCTAATACGGCTGTATTTTTTATGATAGTCTATTATATATAAATTTATACTTATTTATTGCTATTAATTATAAATAATTTTATTTTGTTTCTAAAAGAAATATACCTCGAACAACTGATGAAAATCATGTTCAAATACAAACCCATCACAATCTCCATCTAAATAATATTTGAAGAAATGTATAAACTTTTCCTCCTGTATAGAAGACAATTCAACTAGATAATCCGTCTTTTTTTCATTGGTTTTGCCTGAACAACGTTTCACCCAAGTAGCTGTAACCAGTATATTCAAATGTTTCACAAAGTTCTAATAAAAAATAAATTGTCAACATTTTCATAATTTTATAATAAATATAATATTTGTTAATCTATTTTTTTACTTAAAGTTCTTAATGACAAATTTCAGTAGTCACCTCAATTTTGTGGGAGAGCGGCATACCACGTTCAAGTATTTCAAGAATTATTAATGATTTTATACATAGACCAGAGGAGGAGTGAGACCAAGAAATATTTAATACATAATAATAGTAGCAGCCACTCCTCACTTTCAGTCATTATTTTAAATTGTTAATAAGTTCTAAAATACTAATCCAAGAGTTATTATTAGTCATTTAAAATAGTCATTTTCTTAAGTAAACCATTATCTTATTAATAAACTAGTTAATAATTTATTTTCCCATTAAAAAAATTTTATTTGACACCATCATAAGACATAATATATAAATAAAATAAAACTTCATGATTGATAGATTGATAATAATATACAATAGAATAAAAAAAAACAGTAAAAAATTAGTAATATTATTTTTTTTTTTTATTAATTAGGTCGTTAATGATAAAATAATTTTTTTTTAATAACCTTTATTAAGCTTCTATCTTTATTTTATTGTTAATTCATCTTAAATTAGGCATTTGCATTTAAAAGCCGTAAAAAATTTTAGAAACTACTTATTTGTAAAAAAATTAACAGCCCTTCCTCTAAAAAAATGATTAATATATAAGCAACGTTAATATATACTAACATTACTTATATTCCCTATGATAACACACCTGAATATTATATACTAGATAAGGTAAATTAATATTACATGTAAATATAACATACCCATAATTATCACTATTTCTTATTGCCATAATTTTACACAAATATAGAAAGTTATCAAAAGAATTATTTTAAATTATATTTAGACTTAAAAATTAGTGTTTCAAGGGTTGTTATATGAGGAGACGGGAGTGCAATCCCCAACTAGTCAATATTATATAGTCTTATTCGGTTTCTTTTAGTTTTTCAATCATAAATAAATAAAGTTTTTTTATGTTCATTCCTTATAAGGGTGTCAAGTTTAATTTTTCAAATAAAAACACACATAATTAACTACCTTATTTATTAGACAATAATCTAATTAAGAAATTGACTGATCAGTAACAATTTTTGACCAGTTGTTCGGAAATTATTATCAAGTAATGACAGGAGATAGAGTAGGTACTGCTATTTTTATAACTAAACGTTTCGCGCCCGTACTTTTCCTCTGACCTTGATATAAATATGTCAATAACATCCGAAGTACTATTTAAACTTTAAAATGTTAGTAAAATTAATATATTTTGACAATTTAAATACACACGACAAACCGTTCTATTTAGAAAAAAAAAATTCATGTGAAAATTTTTTAAAAATTTAATTTTTAATGTTTTGTAAAAAAAAACATTTGTATGTATTTTGATAAAAATGAAACAAGGTAAACTATAAACATTTTCTTATATTATTTGAAAAAAAACTTTATGCATATTTTTAGTACTCTTAAATATCTACTTATAATTCCGTTTTTAGAAAATTGTTATGAAAATCTATAAAATAAATTTCATTTTGAAATAACATTTTCAATAAACAATTGAAAATGTAATTAATTAATTATAATACTTGTATTAAATATTATAGAATTTATATTGGTAACTATCAATATAAATTATAAAAAACCCAGCACAGGGGGTCGCGGCACAGTGGTGACGTGGCATAGATGGATCAAGTATAATGATATCTGACAGTGATTAAAATCACTATAAAAAAAAAACGCTTCGATGCAAATCTTTAGATAGTGATTAATTTTAAAAAATTGGAATATTCCNAGTGTTTAATTTTAAAAAATTGGTGGATTATTCCAAAAGCTACATGATCTGCTAGTTCATTATTAATATCCTAATTAAGATAAAGTATGTCGAATGAAAAAGGGATTATTAAAAAATATTATTTCTCATAAAAAAATAATGTTGATCCATACACTTTTCATTATGTCATAGCATTATAAAGTTAAAAATGTAATAAATAAAATCGAAAATTTTCATCGAAAAATAGCATTCGGTAGCCATTTTCACCGTGAAGATAAAATAAAGTCCGAAATTTTTTTTTTGCATAATAAATTAAATTACATTAGCTTTAATTTAAGATATATATAAAAGTGTCAGACTTTCCGGAACACTTTCAAAAGTTAAGTTGAAAAAGTTCTACTTTCTATATGCATTTTTTAGATTTAAACCCCCCTCGTATATAGGGAAATGGTCCGATTTAAAAAACAATATGTCGAATGAAAGATGTATATAAATACTACTTCTCATGAAAAAATTGTATTGATTCATACATTTTTCAAATAGTTATAGCATAATAAAATTAAAAATGTAAAATACAAAATCGAAAATTTTGACACAAAAATAGCATTTGGTAGCCATTTTCACCGTGAAGATAAAATAAAGTCCGAACATTTTTTTTTTCATTATAAAGTATATTACATTAGCTTTAATTTAAGATATATATAAAAGTGTAAGACCTTCCGGAACATTTTCAAAAATCAAGTTGAAAAAATTAATTTTTTGTGTAAAAGTTGTCATTTTATATCCCCCCCTGTGGGCTAGTAAAGGGTTAAATTTATAAAAAAAAATATACCAAATGATAGGTACAGACATAAAGCATCTATTAAAAAAAAAAATTATATTGACTTGTTCATTTTTGAAAAAGGTATGGCAGTTTTAATTAAAAAAAATTGAAAAAATTAGCGATTTTTAAATTTGTAATTTTTTTGGTGATTTCTCCCATTTACGGGGAACGAGGTAAATTTTTTCAATTTTTGAGGGTAATGTCTTTGATTAGATAGGATTTGTGATCTTTTAACGTATCGTTGAAAAAAATCGGTTCGGTAAGAGCTGAGAAAAAGTGGTAACAGACACAAAAAAAAAAAAAACACATCATAGTAAAATTAATACCTTCTCAGCTTCGCATCGAAGCTAAAAGTTTTTAAAATGAATGTTGAAAAAAGAAGACTTAAAAAAGGATGGAGAGATGTTAATGAATGCAATGTAAGGACGGCTGACGTGAGTGTAGATCATGTGGGAGATCATGTCAAGTGGAAGTTTAGGATAAGGGTGACCGACTCCTAGTACAAAAGAATAAGAGAGAAACGTCAATAATAAAGGACTAGTTTGATTTTTTTCCTGGAAAGTCAATGATGGAGCCAGATTTTTGTGTAAGACAACTAAAAAAAAAGTATAGGGAAAAGAAATTAAAGCTGTGTATGGTATTTATAGATTTGGAGAAAGCGTATGATAGAGTATCGAAAAAGGTTTTAAAGTGGATATTAATAAGAAAAAAAATAACAAAAAGTAAATTAATATAATAGAAGATATGTATGATGACACTTATACCAGGGTAAAGAGTGTGGGCGGAGTAACAGAAGATTTTAGGGTAAGAATAGAGTTGCACCAAGGTTCTGCCTTAAGACCTTACTCTTATTTTCTATAGTGATGGATGAAATAAATAAAGAAATACAAGGAGAGGTGCTTTGGAGCATGTTGTTCACCGACGATATATTGTTAATAAGGAGGAAATTAATCAAAGACTAGGATCTGAATATCAGCTCTTGATGTAAAGGGATTAAAAATAAATAGAAGTAGACAGAGTATAAAAAGTACAAGTTTGACAAAGAAGAACAAGAGGTAGGTGAACTGTAATCAATGACAATAAGTAAATAAATGATAAGAGATGGAAAGTTTTAAGTATTTAGGATTATTTGTACAAAATAACGGTGGTATTGACGAGGATGTAAGACACAGAATTAAGTGCGGATGGGTGAAGTGGAGAGAAGCATCTGATGTGTTATGCGATTAGAGAATTTCAATGAGGCTGAAAGATAAGTTTTATAAGACTGTAGTGAAACCAGCTATGATGTATGGTTCAAAGGGTTGGGCGGTTGAAAAGAAAGTAGATTAGAGAATGAGTGTAGAAAAAATTTAAATACTTAGATGGATGAGTGGAGTGACAAAAGATGATAGGATAAGGAACGGACATATAAGAGGGAGTAAAGGAGTAACGCCAATATAGTATAAGACTAAAGAGACTTCAATGGATTGTATTATAAGTATATAATAGTATAAGACTAATAGACTTAGATGGTTTGGTCATGTTATGAAGTGAGAGGAAGCTGTAAGAACAGTTATAGAAATGAATATTGAAGAAAGAAGAGATAGAGGAAGACCATAAAGGAGATGGAGAAATGTTATTTAATGCGATGTGAGGACGGCTGATGTGTGGGTAGATGATATGAGAGATCGTGTTAAGTGAGAGTTTAGGATAAGGGTGATCGACCTCAAGTAGTTGGAATAAAGCCGAAGAAAAAGAAGAAGTAATCGTTGATAATCGTTGATAATCTGTGATAATCATTAGTAATCTTTTATAATTATTGTAATAAAGTGTAAAAATATTGATTAGGAGGATTACCCTCTGTAAACAATAAGTTTTAACATAGTCTAAAAAGAAAATATTAAAAAAAAATTCGGCAAAATGATAATTGTATCAAAAGTTGTAAGCGATGTCAATTAGGTTTGAGATAGCTTGTATATTTACAATAATTTTAAGTAATCAAAAACGCATAATTTGTTAGTAACACAAAATTTAAGAAAGCTTAAAATATTGGGGATTTGAGCTCCTCTAGCCCCTATATTCCGCCAGTGATAAAAATATAAAATTTCCAAAGCAAACAACAAAGAAAGTAATTTACCTCTTATGTACACTTCAAGTGCAGAATTCACACATTCTTCATCCTCCGTTATTTGTACTTCTGGTTGCGGAATTGAATTAGTATTACTCTTCCATGACATGGTTCTTCGTAATAACTGTTTTGTTCGATCTCTAGTGCGATCGCAAGCCTAAAATGTTTAATAGTTATTAGATTATGAAGAATTTTATTTACAGTGACGGATTTAGTGGGGGGGAAAGAATACAGTAATCCTTTTTAAACCCATTGATAGTATCGGAAAACAATTATGAGCCATAAAAATATGCGTGTCAAGTCAAAAAACTCAATTAAGTACCAATACGAACAATTTTTTTCTTAGCTCACCGTAGAAAAATGCTAGATCCACCCTTGTTGGCCTAAATTATAAGTACTCGCACTGTTTAGCACCGAAGCTGTAGTATCGGCGCTAAACTCAAAATATCAATTAACGTAGCTTTGTTTTTAAAAATATTGTATACATCAGATTTCAGACTATAAGCTTTTAATGATCATTTAACTACTTTTTCTATTTCCAGTTAAATTAAAAAATTAACACAAGTGACAAAATATTACTTGAAAAACGTCGTTTATAAAACAAACATATCAGCAGAAAAATCTTATCTTATGCGTGACTAATGTGACATGCCTGAAAATTATCATGTACAACAATTTACATACTTTTCTTCATTATCAATTAATAGGAACAAATTAAATTCTGATAAATATTTATATTATTTAAATTATACATTCACTATTATATAATTTTTAAGTATACAAGATAAAATAAAATAAAATAATTTATAATATATATTTATTTAGTGAACACTGTAATATTTATTTTGTGCATACGCTATTACAAAATTCAAGCTATTTTATAATTTATATATATTTATAATTAATATAGCAATTTATATAATTACTTTTGATACACCAAATAAGTTATTTAAGCGCCCATTTTGTTTTATTTCTTTAGTAAAATTAATTAACACAGACTTTTTTAAATTAATTAAATTTTATAAACACAACATATTTTGCAATCCATCAATGTAGCAGGTTGAAGGGTTTAATAATTATTAGATAATTTTTTTTCAAATTACATAATTTTCTACTAAAAAATAGGCTGTTCCACACATGAGACGACATAGAATAATATGTATAAAATAATAATTATGTAACATGATGATATAAAATACAGGTACGAAATAAATGCACCTAACGTCTTTAATGTGTAGCGACATAAGTACACAACGACGAGTCATGTTTATTCACTCTAGTTACAAGGCAAACAGGGATGGGTTGCATTTTCAATACTAGTAGGTAGAGTTTTACACTTAGCTAATAGTACTTGTACTAGTTTCCCTGATTACAAGTACAAAGATCAGACCACATTATGTTTTTATAAGACATGACTTTTTATTAAAATAAACATACGGTTTTATACCTAATAACTAGTTCTATGTTAACAGGTCTATAGTTTCAATCATTTAACGACACATTTTTTCTATTTTTACAAGACATTCATAACCATAAGCAACTCAATGGGAAACATTCATTAAATTTCCCAGGATGGCTGTTTAATCATAAATGATCTATATAACATTGTGATAATACATTCTACATTATGACACTACTTTATAATTTAATGATGCTTAAAACTTGAGGATTAGTATTTAAAGAGCACCCTAACTAAAATTGAAGTTGTGTAATTTTATGAAAGTAATATCTTGTACTTAATTTGATATTATATGTAAAAAAGTTCACTATATATTTTACCCAAGAGTACTTAAAATGTTGATTCATAAACACAAATTAAAAATTAAATTTTTTTATTTGTAAATAATAAACATAATACAACAAATATCAATAACTAGTATATATTTAATAAACAAATGCTTATTAAAAAAACAATGATTTAATCTATTACTTTTACACCAATATAAAAATTAAGTAAATATACTACGATTGAGAATGAAATCATTACAACTAAATAGTAAATTTTGAAGAGGACTTATCGGCAATTTGTCCTAAATAAGTACGATGGGTTAGTAGTCCACTCTAAAATAAAGAATAAAGGGTTTAGAATACGTAATTGTTATAATGAAAAATTAATTTTTAGACTGGCATCGAGGGAATTCTACTCCCACAAATATTCTAATATAATTATACAGAGTGTTCAGTAAATAAGGAAACGAATTTCTATTGTACTCATTGTTTGTAACAATTTAACTGTTTCCTAACTTACTGAACACCCTGTATATCCTCTGTAATGTATTATTTAATATAATAAACTATACAGTTTTTGAATTAATAACCATAATTATGATTTTTATAAGAGTCGTAGTCGATTATTTTTATAGTGACCTACCTGTTTCCATGTAGAAGTAATTTTAGCTGTTGTGAGCACGTTTTGTGTATCGCCTGTCGCATAAGTGCTTTGTTTCTTTTTATCCGTAATAACCACCGCTTGAACTTCTGGCAAACTCTTCAAACTATGTGACCGCATGTGTTTACCATTCGTCGTTGAAGCAGCGTGGCTAGTTTTAATAGTAGTCATATCTTGTAATCCGTCCACGTGTGAAGCAGACAACCGATTAGCTCGTGACACAACGGTTCACTGAAATTATTTTTGTTTAAGCGCGCTCTGAATGCTAGTCAAGTACAATAATGCATCTGTACATAAAATGAACACCTAAATATACACGCAATAAGAACAATAAGTCTCTACGATCGTAGTGGGTTTGATGTCATGGCACACTTATTAAAGGGTGAAAAGGGAGACACAATGAGTTTTTCTTTATTTTAGGTCGGTCATATTCTCTGGCTAACATGCGACCATGTCGTTTACACGCGATTGTCAAATGTTAACAGTATTAACTGTTTAGTATGTATACGCTGTTATACTGTATTGACTATCAATTTTTTTAAATTTTTATTTATTTTAAACGTGGTCACATTTAAGAACGGGCGTGATATATAAAAATACTTTTGAATAAATCAAATATAAACTATTATTTAGTATCACTTCATTAAAATAAATTATTATATATCTGAGATAAATAATTAAAAAACGCTAGAAATCCTATAAAGTGGTAATATTACTACCTTAAAAATATTGAATTAGAAAATAGGAGCGCAACTGTCCTATCGAATCATTATATTTCATATTTTATTATTTTCTAAAACTAAAAACGGTTCATATGGAAAATTAATCCAACTTAAAGAAAATTTAATAGTGTTTAACCGATACCAATAATCGATATTAGCTAAATCAGGTATTGATTTCTTATTTTAATGTAATTAATCTATTAAGGTTGTAGTGATCATAACAGTTCATATTCAATATTTTCGATACTTATTTGAAAGTTGAAATATAATTTAAATCAAATATCCTTCTTTATTTGCTTAAGAACTTTATTACAGTATAAATTTTAGTAAAAAAATATCATTAACTGATTTTTTTTGGAAAAGCTCAAAAAAGAGATAGCTTAGGCATTTTTTTTTCAATTAGTGTCGTAAGAACTTGTTCTGATTTACCAATTTGTGGGCCCAATAAAATTTAATGTAGTAAGCCCCTTAAAAAACAACAAACCCTAAATTATAACTAATCCAAAATATGTTAATAACCGTTAAAATGTATACATAAATATATATAAATAAACAGAGGTGTGCCAAGGGGGTGGTTTTAGGGGTTCAAACCACCTCCAAATTGACTTTTTTAATTTGTAACCTTATTTTTTTCATGAAATAAAAATTATATATTATAGTACATTATAGTCACGGTGAAATAAAATTTTGTTTTTATAAGATTAAGTCTTCACATGTGTTTTTACTATTTGACAGTAGTATTAAATTATTATGGATTTTTATGAATACACTCGGGATTGTTTATTTAATACCTACTTATTTTAATGATATAATTGTAAATTTAATACTAACATCAAAAAATTAAAACCACCCCCAAAACAAAATTCTAGGTTTGGCCCTGTAAATAAATATATAGTAAATATAAATATTTATTTATTAAACTTTTTAAAGGGCAAAAAATATTAATTTTGGGAGAGGGAATAGTAAATTTAATGACTTAATGTTCCTTTAATAAAATAATAAGCAAAAAAATATTAAANCGAAATTACTTATTAGCATAAAGAAATACAACATAGCGGATATGAGATTGTGTGGAGACCGCAATACAAATAAATCGGAATTTTAAAGCAGAAAAAACGTAAAATCTCTTCCAGGTGAAGCTATTTTAGTATATAGCTAGATACTAGATATACTAGATATACTAGATACTAGATACTAGATACTCGATACTAGATATACTAGATACTAGTAGTTCTATTAACTATTTCACTAATGGAATAACTTTTTTTCACTATTAATGACTCATCTTTATTTTTATATCTACGGTTGCTTAGAAACCAACAGCAGTTAAACAGTAACCGTCAATCTATCATATCAGTAGGTAACCTGATAATAAGCGCTTGGTCATGAGAATTTAAAAATTGGTTTAATAAAAATTATTTGATTTGTATAGCTGTTCAAATTTTTTATTAAAGGTCACATGTACGAAAAATCATATATGAATGAAAAATATAGTTTTAGAATGTTAATGAATCATAAACTGAGCAGCGAAACTATTTTAAATTTAATTATATGACCAGCAAAATGAATGTACGTACTTTAAAATAAAATATATCTTGTAATAATTGTTCAAAAATTATTATTTATATCTATGCATAAATTAATAAGCCATAAATAATTGATAAGTAATATAAAGTATTGTTATAATTTTATAACAAATGTATTCTGAAGCTATAATAATACTATTTAATAAAAGCTTTAATAAAAAAAACGCATTTTGTTAACTATAGAGACTTACTATGATATATTTAATTTTATAGAAATTAGTAAAACTTGATTTTCCCAGAGGATCAGGTCGGTCTATATTAGCTTGGCAGAAAGGTAATGGAACATATATAGCTATAGCTGGTACTGATCAATTTGTAGGCATATATAACCGTAATGGAAAACTTATAGAAAAAATTAAAATCACAGGGTAATTTGATATCAATAATAATAATATTTTTTAATGATTTATATAATTTCTTTTAGAACTTGTTTAGACCTAGCATGGGATCGTGATGGTGATTTATTAGGTATTATATGTGATGGTCTAAACTCAATAGTTTTATGGGAAGCCAACTCATCTAAAACAGAACACATTAATCCTGTTTTCAATGATAATTTAACTTGTATATTATGGTCAAAAGTCAGCCAAACAGTTGCAGTTACTTCTGCTAAAGGAAATTTGACTATATATGATTATATAACGTCTAAGTAAAATTTGAAGGTTAAAAACATACTTATATTTTTTAATATATCTTTTTTAAATATTGTTTAGAAGAATACCTGTACTTGGCAAACATTCAAAAAGTATCATTTGTGGTGAGTGGAATCGAAATAATATACTAGCACTAGGATCCAAAGATCAAACTGTTTCCATTAGCAATGTTGAAGGTGATACATTAAAAATTATTACTCTTAGGGGAGAGCCTTCTAACATAAAATTTTCAAAAATGAAATCTGACAGAAAAAAAAATTTAGAAGAAACTGTAATTAACTATTTTCCAATTAGCACATACTTAACTCAAATATTCATTGTAATAATTTTTTCATAAATTATTACAGTTAAGTGTTTTGGTGAGTAACAAAACATTATATCTAATAGATCTCCAAGACACGGACAATCCTATCGAGTTAGCCTTCAATGTAAAATATGGTTCTATTGTGACTTATCATTGGTATGGAGATGGTTATATCTTAATTGGTTTTACTGAAGGTTATTTAATTTCAATTTCAACCCATCCTAAGGAAGTTGGTAAAGAACTTTATCAAGTACAGAATCACAAAGAACTGTTGTCTGATGTGGGTTTATCAAAAATATCAGGGAAAGTTGCTACTTCTGGAAACTACACGTATATTTTTTTCTGTATACTTTACTAAAATTTTATTACTGTAAATTATTTAAAAAAATAATTTTTCTAACAATTAAAAATATTAGTGTTAAAGTTAATGAAATTGGAAAATTGGAGGAAACTATTGCAGTACTACATGTTGAAGAAAGTAGTGTAATTGAACGAATTTCTTGGAGTGAGGATGGGCGGCTACTAGCTGTAATAGCATCAGATGGATGTATTCATCTTTACTTAGGAACATTACCTATGTTATCTGCATCATTTAATAGCTGTGTCGCGATTTTAACATCTTTAAATCAAATAACTGTATTCTATTATCATTTAGACAAAGTTAGTTATTCATAATAAGTTAAAATAATAGTGAAAATACTAATTTTTATTTTATTTTAAGAATCAATCGCCTTATACTATTTCTGTTACTGCAGAAATAGAACCTACATTTTTAGGTATTGGTCCTTTCCACTTAGCAGTTGGTATGAATAACAGAATTTGGTATTATCAAATAAATACAATTGAATCCAACAAGTTAACAATTTCATTAATTGGTGACCAAGAATACTTAAAAAGTATAAAAAACATTAATTTAAATGGAGAATATATATCAGTTTTGTTTGAAGGAAAACTTCAACTCCATACGGTATTTTAATACATATATTATAAAATTAAATATTTTAAAAACCAAGAAAAAAAATGAAGAAAAAAATATAATGAACCAATTATGTGATAAAAATATACATTGATTGCTAAAAGATTATTGGGTACATAGAAAATATTGTATTACTTGAAAATTATGTTATTTATTTAGAATTTAGTTTTTCAATAAGATAAACTAAAAATATTTAAGTTATTTTGAACTGTATTAGGATTTTGTTAAATTAAATGAAATAATTAATTTTTCTTTTTACTTACTAAAGGTTATCAATGTTTGAGATAAAAATTTAACTTTTAGAATTTTAAAAAGTTATTTGAGATATTTTTTCATTCACATCACTTAACTATACACCTTTGAGCGGAAGATAAAACATGGATGAGAAAGCCCTTATAATAAAACTTGTAATTTAACACCCTTATAAGATAAAAGAGATAGTCCTATAAAGTACTGAATAATTTATAAATTAAGAAATCTATATAATTAAAAATAACCATAAAATAAAAAGAAATTCTCTATATTATTATTTTTATTTTGAAAGTAATTGAATGTGTTATAATAAATAAATCGGTATTATATAGTATTAAATATTTGGTGGATCCATAAAGTCTAAATCCTCTTGAAATTAAAAGGCATAAAAGTGTAATAATTTATGTAATGGCATTTTCTATTTAATATTAATATTTTGCATAAAACTGTATTTTTAACAATTAGCTTTAAAAGCCAACAGAAATTATACCTCATTGCTCTATGAAATAATCTATTATTAATAGACACCTATTATAACTCAGAATTACTTACTTTATAGGTTGACTCTGTGATGTCTAAAGAAGTTGGTGACAATGTGTCTAAAATGTTTCCTATAGAAAAAAATACAACCATAAATAACCATTTCTTGACAAATGATTTTCTAATTTACAGTACAGAAGTAAGTATGTGTAAAATATACAGTAAAAAAATAGTTTTTAAACATTTATAAAAATTTATCAGACAGGTACTGTGCATTTTTTTTATTTGGAAGATTGGACTGAAGCTTTTACATACAAACATCAATGTGGTATTGTTTCTTTGTACCCAAATCTTGATGGTTCAAGATGTTTAATAATTGATACAAAAAATGAAGCTTACTTATTTAATGCTGTAAGTTTTATTTTAATATATTCAATACTAGTAAGTTATTAAAAGGTAAGCATAAAAAATAAGATGATAATTTTTAAGGAGCTCCAAATATTATTCATTAGCTTATAATAAGAATATTAAAATTCTAATTTTATGCACAGTTACAAGACTGGTACACCAAAGCTTAAGGAAGATTAAATTTTTAAGAAAGGTTTTTTTGAAACTCCTTTGTTTTTTTTCTAAAAGAAAGGTATATTTTATTTTAGTTTATTTAATTTTACAGGTTCTTGAAGAAATTATATCAGTTTTAGACTTTCCTACTTCAATAACTAAAATTTTCTGGGAATGTTGGGACCTTGAAAAACATATATTTGTTGGTTGTGATGAAAAATCAGCTTATACTTTTATATATATCAAAGAATCTATCCATGGTGCTAAAATTTTACTATGATAATAGTTATTATATTACATTTATTCCTAAATTTTCTTTAGGTAGTATTGTTCGCTATTTAGGTTCTACAAAATTACCTGAGAAACAAATACCTCTTTTTCTATCTAAAGGTGAAATAACATTAGAAACTTCTTCTGGTAAATTAAACACAATAATATTAAAGACACATACAGCTGTGTTAATACGACCCACTGCTGCAACACTCAGTCATCCTACTGAACGATTGGAGCAAGATTTAGACAAACAAATAGCTTTATTACGTTTCAATGATGCTTGGAAAACTTGTCAACTTTTAAATAAAAATATATACTGGGAAAAATTAGGAAAAAGCTGTTTGGAATATTTTAATTTAGAAATTGGTAATGAACATATTTAAATATAAAAAAAAAAAACTGTAATATTAAACATTTTTTTCAGCTATTCAAATATATTCTCATATTGCTAATGTCTCAATGGTTTGGTCTTTAGAGCTAATTAAAGATATTGAAGATAAAAATTTGTTTGCCGCTCATGTAGCTATGTATTTAAAAGAATTTGACAATGCACAAGTAAATTAATTTGATTTTTTTAGATTTTATGATATTTTGACTATAGTTAATGAATAATTCCAGAAGTTATTTTTGGAATCATCAAATCCTATAAAAGCATTAGAAATGCGTCAAGATTTATTGCAATGGGATTTAGCTTTAGATCTAGCAAAAAAATTAGCTCCTAAACGTTTACCATTTATATCATATAAATATGGACAGCAACTTGAATTAATGTAATTAGAATTTTCAGTTAAAATTAAACTTTTAATAACTGATGTGTTAAATGAAATTAGTATACAATTTTATGTTGCAGTGGTAAAGCATCTGAAGCTCTGCGACAATATGAACAAGGTCTTAACACTGAACTAAATAGTGATCTCCTAAATCTTAGTCGTGAGGGTATTGCCAGGTGTTTAATAAAAACTGGTAGTTCAAAAAAAGGAATGGCAATAGCTTTGGAAGTAGGAACTTCAAAAATATTAAATGAATGTGCTAAAATTTTAGAAAACTCTAAGGTGAAACAATCAAACAATTTTTTTAAATTTATTATTGATATGTTAATACAATATGTATACAGAAATTAAGTGATGCTGCTGAACTATATGAATCAGTAGAAAACTGGGATCAAGCTGCTTCTTGTTATATCAGGTTGAAAAACTGGTCTAAAGTTGGTGAATATGCTTCAAGAATCACATCCAGAAAAATTTATGCACAATATGCAAAAGTAAGATTTGAAAATAATTATAAAAATAAAACTGATATAATTTCAAACAGGCTATGGAAGCTATGGGAAATTATAAACAAGCACATTATGGATATTCTGCAGCCCAAGATTATGATAATGTTATTCGTTTAGATTTAGATAAGTTAAATGATCCTCAAGATGCTATTAAAATTATTCAGGAACATCACAGTTCTGAAGGTTCTAAAATGATTGCCAGGTAACTAATTTAAATTTTAATATTTTTTCTATATGTCATACTTATTTTTAATGTGAATACATTAAAATAACAAGTATTAATTATCCTATCAACTTACTACTTTTTTGTTTATTAAAGGCAACCTAAAATTTTTATTAAATTTTTTCAAGTATTAACAAACATTTCATGTTTTTTATCTAGATATTTTCAAAGAAATAATGAAGTACTTCTTGCTATTCGATTTTTAACTATGTCTCATTGTTTCACCGATGCATTCAGATTAGCTTGTGATAATGACCAATTAGAGTTATATGGTGATGTTTTAATGGATGAAGAGGAGGAAATAGCTATTCCAGAATTTACTAGTCTTGCAAAATACTTTGATAATCAAAATCGTCCAGCACTATCTGGAAAATATTATTACTATGCTAAAAACTACCAAAAAGTAAAATATATTTTTCTAATACTAAATACTATGTAATATATATTAATATTAAACTTAAATAGTATTTAAAATTTAACTTTTCAATCACATATATTTACTTTTTTTTAATTTGTTAGGCCATTAAAAATTTAATTGAAGGTAGTAAAATAAATCCTGAAAATGAAGATATCTTATCATTAGGCATAGAAGTAGCAGCTGCTGCTAAAGAAAATTCAATTGATGAACAATTAATACAGTTATTATTGGGTGATGTTGATGGTTTTCCTAAGGTATTTTATACATTTGTATTATTTATTTATTATTTATGTCAAATTAAATTTATCAGAATCCTAAGTTTTTGTTTAAACTCCATATGGCTAGAAAGAGATTCCATGATGCTGCCAAAGTTGCCATAATTTTAGCAAGCAATGAACAAATAAAAGGTAAATGTTCAATTAAATAAGCTTAATTTTTTTTTTTAAATAACCTAATTTGTTTTAAATTTCCTCTTTTTTTTGTAACATATCCTTAACTAAGATGTTGAATTCTTATTAAAAAAATCAAAAAGTAACTAAGCACAGCAAAATTAAACCTTTATATCTTCATAATTAGTATATAATACATTTATTGACTTAACTAAGTAGGTCACTTATATCACGAATAAATAAATAAAAACATATATTTATGTTTATTAAATTTCAATATTTATTCAGTTTTGTTGAGCCCAAAAATGAAATGTATCAGGCCGTAAAGAGCGCGTACGCACTTACCTACTTTGGTAGATTTAGAGAGCATCACTAAAAAGACATTTTAGGCTTCCTATAAAGCTCCAATCACTGAAAATACATTCTACAGATGGTAAATGAATTTTTAAATAAAAAAAATAACTTTCACAGGGTTTCCCCTCATTAATCATTATTTATTATATTTATCTAAATAATACTGAATTTTCAAAACATAACAGGCATTTTTAATTATCAATATTATTCGTTGCAAATGTATCACTATGACTTGCACAATATCTTTAAAATTATACTATGTACAAATTTGATCCTATCCACTCTCCTACCTTAAAATTGTATCAACTTGAATTTTTAATAAAAAGAAAGTGTCCTATGCTTAACTTCTAAAATATTAATTCAAAAGTTTTAAAAACAAATAATTTTGTTATTTAAATAGTTTCTTATGTGTAAGCTGATTAAACTTAAATGTATTCATTTGAAGTTGATACAAATTAAAAAGGTAATAAGGGGGACTTTAAATTGTAGGATACTATTAAATTCTGAAAAAAAATATATATATTGTATTTAATACTTTTAATGACACGAGTGTAGGTAAACAACTATTCTGTATTTATATATTTTTATTGAACTTTGGTTAGGCCATTAGCTTGTTATACAATTATTGTGTTGAATTATTTGTTTTAATTTTTTTTAATTATTTTATTAGGAAATTATAGACAAGCACATGATGTTTTATACAGCACTGTTTGTGAACTACGCAACAATCAATTAAAAGTAAGCAATGAAATGATTGCAAATTTAGCATTACTTCATTCTTACATACTGGTCAGGATACATGTAAAGTTAGATAACCATTACAAAGCAGCTTTGTTACTTATAAGAGTATCTGAGAATATTGATAAATTTCCTTCACGTGAGTTTAAATTATACCTATCTACATCCTGCCTGCATATTTAATTTTATGCCATTGAATAACTAAGCAAATTTCAGATGCTGTTCAAATTTTGACTTCAACTGTCATTGAATGTTATCGATCTAATTTGAAAGAAAGTGCCTTTAAATATGCATCTATTTTAATGAAATCAAACTATAGAAATCAAGTAAACTTTTACTCTTGAAATTATTATATATTAAAATTAAATAACTATAAAATAATTAATCATCTTAGATAGATGAAAAATACCGAAAGAAAATTGAAAGTGTCATCAGAAAATCACCTAGAGGAATTATAGACAGCATGTTAAATAATATTGAACCATGTCCTTATTGTGATCATGAACTCTCTATTACCAATTTAATATGCATTAATTGTAAAAGCTGCATACCTTTTTGTATATCAACAGTATGTTAACTAAGAAAAGAAATTTATTGTTAAACTAAAAATATTATGTTTTTATTTTAAGGGTTGGCACATAACCAAAGAAAATTTGACTTTTTGTCCTAACTGTCGATTTCCAGCCTTGTACAATGAATTTGTTGAGTAATATAAAACAATTAAATTAAAATTTTATGAATATTGACAAAATGCTTAAATTTTATGTTAGATTATTGGAAGCTGGAGAAAATTGTCCTATGTGTTCTGATACAATAAGAATAAATTATTTACAAATTGTTGAAGATCCAAGACCATTTTTATTTTCAAATGAACAATAAAACTATATAATCAATATTTATAAATTACCAATATGAATCCGTCCAATTTTCAAAGTGAAGTACTATTTTTAGAATATATTTTGCACTTCTATTTCTACTAGCTGATTATTTATTCTTTTTATAAAATTAATTTATAAAAATTTTATCTATATTTGTTTTATATTGTGAATATACAGAATGATTCATTTATCATTAACCACTAAATTTATTCTTAAATAATTTAGAGAATTTTTTTTCCTGTTTAGTATTATTTATTTCTGGATGTATTAAAAATGAAATATTTTTTAGGTTCATCCCTTATTCTTTATAAGGGTACCAACTTTATTTTTTTTAATGGCACTGTACATATTTAACTTTTTTAAATGTTACAAAATGGTCTGATTAAGAAAATGACTGATCAATAGTCATTTTTAAATCAGTAGTTCAAAAGTTATGCATGTTTTTATGTCTGTGTCAGAGGTGTTGCACAACAGAGAAATACATCATAAAAAATTAACTTAACCCACACCTCACCTCCTATATAAGTTTTAAAGTATTAATAAATCGTGATTTACTGTTTTAAAAGTTGTTATCAACTAGTTTAGTTTTCTTTAGATTAAGACTAAATTTTTTCCGTACCATGCATTCCATCTTTCCTTAAATTCTGTTCACTTCTGTCCCCTACATGATAGTAAAACTCTATGCAATTTCTCCCATCATCTCTTTGGTTGTCTTGCTCACATTAACAGCGAAAATACACTATTTAGCCTATTAGCCGCCTACAATATTAATCCCCCTTCCAAAGCTAGTATACTTTGTTACTATTCTCCCAATATATAATTATTTCCATAATGTCTTTTCTGAAGAGTTTCGGTTTTGTCATTTAATCTTTAATTAATTTTTTTTTCTCTTCTTTCATTCTTTCAAATTAAAAATTTTTAATTTGTTCATTAAAAGCTCTGTTAACAATAATTTTAAATAATGTTTAATTTCTCTCTATTTTAGAGTTTACTAACAATTATTGTCATATTTGTTGTACCGTTTTAACTTAGTATTGTTACATTTTTTATTATTTTTGAATAATTGTAGAGCTGATTATTATTTAATAAATGCTTTTAAAAAAATTACCAGTTTAATTGGATTACTTTCAATAATATAAGTTATTTTTTATGTTTATTTTTATTTTAATTATTTAACGCCAAACGGCCATTTACAGGAATAATATTATGCTAACCTAAATATATAACATAATATAACAAAAAGAAGAAAAAAAAATAATAATAATAATAATGTACATGCATATATGTAAAACATAGAGTAAGAAACTTTGACAACAAAATAATGATGACAATAAATTAAGATAAATATAATATATAATTAATATAAGACAGTTAAATTTTTATAAAAGTAAATGTGACCAAAAAACTAAATATTATTGAGAGAGCGTAGCATTCAGTGTATTGGATTATTATTATTATAGGAGGTATGATGAGAGGGAACATGAAAGGGAAAGTGATTTCTAGTGGGATAGGATGGAACACGAAATGATATAAAAGACAAAAGGTCTGGTGCATCAATTAGACCATTAAGGAGAGCATCGATAAATGAACGGTCTGCATCAAATCGCCTGGAACTAAGAGTAGTTGTTACCATTAAAAAAAATTAATTTGGTAACTTTATAACAAATAAAGAATGGATATTTAAATACTTCTCCATCAATAAATAATATTGAACAAAATTTAAAAATATTTGTTTAAAATTATTATTACCTTAGAAGAAATTTAGTAATCAACTATATCACTGTATACAGTTCAATCAAAAAAAATTAATACAAGTCACCACTAATGGTGTAGAAAGAAAGTTCAGGGTTCTCCTTCTCAAACTATCTGAAGCAATTTTATTAAATAAACATGTGAAAATATATTGAATTAATACCTTTTACCCAAGATTAATTTCTGATGATAGAACTGATTGCTACAAAATTTGGGTTAATATTGACAATTTTAAGTTACTAATAAGCACTTGTATAGTGGAATATACCATTTGTTTTCTGATATCCTATAGGAAGGTTAATTTCTCCCGAGCAAGGATTGATATCATAAAGTCATTAAAATATCAAAGAAATACATTAAAAATAAATCCAAACACTGAAAAAAATCAAGAACTATTATTGCGTAGTATAGTTTAATATTTTTAGTGCACATGAATTGCTAACTGCAGAAAGGGGACAAATCCATATTATCCAATTTTTTTAATTCACTATAATTTTAATAAATTTGTTGTATATTGAAAAAAGGACTTAAATCTGTCCATCCAAACATTAAAAACAGTTTTTAATATAAAATTTTACTACAGAAACAGAACATGTTACAGGATAAGACTTCTTCCTATAGTTAATTACAGTTAGATAATTTTTAATTTCAGTTATTCATATTCAGTTTAAAAATCATGTTTATATTCGATAAAAAAAAAAATTATTCTTTTTTCTTTATATTAATTTGAAAATAATGTTTTCTATAAAAAGGAGTAATGTTCATAAATTTATTAAATTAAACCAAACTTATACTCTGAATTTAAAAAATTTTAAGTTCATTTTAATTGATTTAAATTTTGAAACTTATAATGATAGTTGCTATACTTTATTCAGTTTCCAGACTTTTTTTGAAAATTTTAAAAGTGAACTTGCCCAGCTTTTATAAATAATGATACTGATTTATATACTTTTATATTCTGCAAATATTCAATTGTCTGTTAACTATTGAATATTTATCTTTTTATTTAATTATCTAATTATTTAATTAATTATTAATTAATTTTTTTTTTTTAAGTAAATCTCCTTGTTTTTAATTATTTTAGATGATATCAGATTGTGATGATGTTAACAGTAATATACATTATATATTAGGATCATACAACAAAATTCTAATTTGAAGGTAATTTCTCTGAATATTTTCAGCTAAGTTAAAAAATATATCCTTCTTAAAATGTTGAAAAAATAGAATAAAAGAATAGTTTTAACTAAAATATTTTATAATTCCTTGATAAAAATAACACTTTTTTTTGTTATTTCATAATTTTTATACATAACAAAAAATTATTCAATGATACATGATATTAAATTTAATGGAAAGTTGTAAATAAAACTTTTAAATTTTTAGTTTAAAAAAATATTGTAGTATACAAGAAAAATATCTTAAAGCGGATTACTTTTAAAATATGTCAAAATATGATTGTGTAAAACAGCCATTTTAGTTAACTGCAAAATTAAAATTAAAAATTCAATTTTTTAAAAGAGAAAAAGATGTTTTCTTTAAATTAATGAATAGGAATTAATTATTTTTTATTTTATTAAATAAGACATTTTTCTAATATTTTTGTCAATAGATGAAAACAGAAAATTATACTTCAGTACTTAGCCATGTAAATGGCAGTTAAAAAATCAGGGACACATTTTATTTTTAAACAGTTGATACAGTCTTGATAAAAAAAATCATACATAACAAAGAAATTTTATCACAATATATAATATAAATTTTTCAAAATTTATCATTTAGTTTGGTTAATATTTGTAATAAAAAAATAGTTAATACTTAAGATTAAAACAATTAGATTATCAACAAACAAGACAAAATTGGTATAGTCTAATTGTACAATATATTTAAAATAATTAGTAAAAAAATAAATTTTTAAAGTCTATAAGCACACTACTGATAATTAAATCAAAATTTAAATATATTAAAGAAATATTTGTACTTTAGTAAAATGAAAAATGTGTATCAAATAATATTGATCACATTTTATACTCTAAGGGACTACAAACTATTATTTATTAATAATAATTTTTAGACAATGATTAAAAAATTAATTAAATATATTAATTTTTTATTAAAGAGTTATAAAATGTTGTAGGTACTTTAAACCTTAGTTTAGTAATTCATTTGGAATTATTTCATTAGTACCAAAAGAAGTCTTTTTATTTCAAGTATAAAGTTATTGAAAAAATTGTGTAAAATTTTCTTAAGGAAATATTATTACTCAAAATTCTTCACATATCTAAATACTGTTAATTTAATACCATACATATTAAACACAATGTTTAATAATCATCACATTATGCTATAACAACATACTATGCTGTTAAAAAAATATTGAAAATTACTAATTTGAGCAAACTTAAAAAAGTAAAATGAATAACAGAAATAATTTTTACAGATAATATATTTTTTATAATTTAATTAATATTCACAAAAGAACCAAAGCAAAAGTATATTAAATAAATGTTTTTTAACATTCTAATAATAGACTAGTAAAATGGTATTTCAATACCAAAATTATAAAATAATTTACACATTTTATTATCATTCTGTGTGAACATTTTTTCACACGTGAAATTCTTATTTAGTTAAGAGTCATTTAAGAATTGTTATCTCTTAATAGTGCAAAAATGTATTTTGCAAAACTATCTCTTACAAATTGGGGATCATTATCACAGTTATAACCATGTGGAAGAACAGTAGCATTAGGACCCCATACTATAGGTGCCATATCAGCTTTAATAACAGCTTCCATGTTTTTATCTATATAATGAAAACTTTCTCGCTTAAAAAAATTATGTAAATAACAACATGCTTTGACAATAGTTTGCACTTTTCTAGCATCTAAATTAACAGGAGTTTGTAATACACCAAACCTCCAAGCCATAATAGCAAGTGTCTTAGCTGCTCGTTGGTATGCTTTGACTAGTTGACGATTAAATAATTTATTAGATTCTCCACCTTTTTCACTCACAGTTCTATATGGAACCATAAAATTTTCTTGTAATTTAAATGAGTCATCAGCTATAAAGACATATGGTAGTTGATTAGAACCTGAACAGCCTGGTATAGTAGTTGGACAAATATTTCTTTCAATTATCCTATTTGGAGGGTTTGATTCTGATAAATGTCCACTTGGACTTGTATCTGCTATAAGAAATTCGTAGTTAGAATCAACAACAGCAGTCAATAAAACACTAGGACGACGTCTTTCATTTAAATAATCAGTATCTGCTTTAGAAACTTTACGAAGTTCTATGTGACGTACACAAGCAGCACCTAGACATGATGGAAAACGAGTAGTCCTTTCAAAAGTCATTGAAATACGCAGCCATTCTTCTTCAGTTAGAGGGCACTAAAAAAAAATTCTAGATATTTAAAAACCATAATTATAAAAGCAATACCAATGTAACCTTCAAAAAGTCTATTTTTAGTAGATATAATGATTGTTAAAAGAAGCATAGAAAATTATTATTTTTAAGGGAGTAACCAAGTTGATTTGTTTAACTGACTGACTTTTTAAGATTTACATCGACCTACCATAAATTAAAAATAAAAATTTTTTGACCAACTACGTATAAAAAATATTTTATTGGCAAACTAAAGTGGTAATTTATAGGTGGACAGGAGCACTTACAAGGAGGTGTATAGAAGCAATAATTAGAATTCTCCTAAAAAAAAATTTTAAAAATAACACTTACTTTAACAGAAATAGTGAAATGCCTCCCCTAAAAAAATGTCTTCAAGATCTATATTTAAAGGAGGCAAGTTACTCTTTTCTCCTCTTATCTTTAAATTATGATCCCTACTATAAAAACCTTTTGAATCAAATTTTTAAACCAGGAAATAATTTTCAAAATTATTAATGAACTTATTTTAATTATAATTAAAAATTTACTTATTTTTAATAATATTGTCACTCATATTGCTCATAACTCGTTGGGATTTAGAGTAAATAAAAGATTTTATGCATGACTAGTAAGTCCTTTTTTAAAAATTTTCCATCAAAAGCATAAAACATATCACTAGTAATCAACATGTTGAACCATGTTCAATTATTTTCTGAGCAATTTCAATTGCCTAGTTGTCTCACTGAGCCTTTCAATTTATATGATCTTTTATTTTTATTTTTGAACATTAATTTATGCATCAAAATTTAAAAATTGATTTATTAAGGAATAAATAGTATTGATTGGCAAAGGGCTACATAATTATTAAAGTATATCTTATTTTATATTTAAAGTAATGTCTTTAATGTTTTTAACATTATAATTTTAAAATTAATTAATAGTTTAAAATATAAGGTAGGTAAGTTCATTAAATAGTTAAGAATTATTACAAGAAACAAAACTTACTTTTATGTAATCATGCAATGCTTCAATGATACAATCACAAGTTTCTACAATAATTTTTGCCAACATTTGAGGCGATATATGAGTATCAACTTTAATTTCTTGCAAGGAAGTACTCGTTGCAAGAAATCTAAGTGTAACTGTCAGTCTTCTAGCTGGACTTATTTTCTGTCCATTTTTAGCCTTTGATATAAATGGATGCAATTTGAGCAACAACTTATGAAAAGTTTGTCTGTCCACACGTAACCTTCTACCACGATCCTCCTTTCCAAGCCATTCCAGCTCTTTTTCCAATAACAAATCTCTTGAATGACCATCACGCTGGCCATAATATGAATAATGTTCCATCGACTGAATGTACTTAAACGGAAATTTAATTATTGAACTACATTCAGGAGATTCTAATTTACACTTAATTAATATTACAACAAAAGCAGTAACTAGTTGGTTAAGATACCAACTATTGTTAGTGATGGTCACTATTAGTTCTATTAAGAGAGTAGAAGTTATCATGTCATTTTTTAATTTTTTTTTGCTATAAAACCTATACTTTTAAATACGAACCAAATGACTAAAATTTTCATATGTTTATAATTCGAACATAAATTAAACAAATCATTTTTTAATAGTAATAAAGTATAAAGATTATCATATATAGAGTTATTTATAAAAAATAATTATAAGTTGTTGAAATTGACTAAGAAAATAAAAATACTTAAAAAGTATCAACATATTTTCTAATGTTACGTATATTTATTAAAAGGAATAAAATATTTTTGATTACAGATATTATGATAACACAAATCATAGCAGTGCAGGGTTATAGTAAATATAATATATTAACCATAATCTTGCATTATTATCAGTATTACTGAGAAATTAAGATTTTTTAGAATATCAACTTATTATTGACTCTTCAACGGCAGTAGCCACTCAAAATTACAATATTAACGGAAGTATTTAAAGTTTTTTTTAATAATTTAATAAGGAAAACATTATAAGTCAAATGACCATATTTTTATGTGTAATTGTTATGTTTTTAACATTTTCCTAACCAACTACACGTTACATGGTGTTTACGTGTATTAATTAAAACGTAAATAATTTTAATTTAAATTACGAAAGTATTCTTAACTCACAATAGTTCTCCCCATCTACCTTAAACAATTTTCAATAATATAAAAATTTTATATACATTTAAATATAGAAAATTGAGTTATTTTACAATGAAAACAGTTTCTTATGCTTTGGTAAAAGTAATTATTTTAACTTAACAAAATCATTTTTATTCATTTCAACATATTTTAATTAAGAGTTTAAATTAATTTAATTCATCAAAAATACTGTATAAATATACAGTTATTATCATAGACTTTTGTAAACTATTAAAATGGTGAAATGTTTTTTTTATTTTAGGGACACACTGTAAGTATTTTGTACACTTCATTTTGGTAAAATTCAGGAAAATCCACCCACGCTTAAGGCGGTAAGGAATAACAGGAATAAATCGATTTCCACGGTGGCGCCAGCTGATATCGCTAATGGTTATCAAACAGTAGGCCTAAGACACTGAATGATCGAATAATTTAATACAATTTTTATTTTATTTTTAGACTATTACGTGATTTATACCAAAACTTTAGATAATTAATTACATAATTGTTTAAAATAACAAACACAAATTATTTTTCCAATAATCTATGGTGAGTTTATGAAGATTAAATTATAAATTATTTAAAATTATGTGTTTATTAATTATTATAAAAATTTTAATATTTAGTGTTAACATTTTTTTTTTTTTTGCATATAAAAAATATACATAATATATATTTTATTATTTTATTTTATCATTTTTTCATTCAATTTCAATGTAAATAAACATTTATGTTTCTCTAGATAATCGTGCAAATATTAATCCTTGGAATTAAAAAAGTTTTTCTCGTTATTTTCAATAATGACGATTTTTTGTATGTATCTTAAATACTTATTTTAGTCTGTAAATATTTATTTATTTATTTAAATTCTTATTTTTAGAATATTTTCAGATATATCTAATATCTTTAAACTCTATTTAAAATTCCAAACATCAGCATAAAACAGAAGACATAGATTTAATAAAAGCTTTAACACACTTCTTTAAATGTATTTGAGTTAACAACTTGTTTAAATTTTAATTAATTTTTATTACTAGTTTTAAAAGTTTTTAATTAATATTAATTTATACCTGTGGATATTTTGAACACTTACCATATTATCATAAAAAAATAAGATAATTTTTAAAGTTATATTTGATGTAAAATGAACTTTTTTAGTAGTCTTATCAACAGACGCGGACTAACTATAATGGGATACTATATAATTTCAAGGAAAAAAAAAACAATTTTTTAAAATTATTAATAATAATTTTAAGTAAATGAATTGGGGAACATTTATGGTGGAAGGGTAAATAAATATTGAGGCAATAAATGCCATAGCTAATGGCGTAAAATCTAATGGGGTAAAAATCCGGGTGGTGCTAAAATTGTGTAAACCATGTAGTCATAGCCCCTACACCCCCCAATCAATCACATTAATATAGATAGCTGTAAAACTGAACGATTATGGTTAATCGGTGGCATAATATAGAAATGTTCTATTATACAAAAAATAACGATTTTATTTGCTACAATAATAGTATAATGTAAACGTAATGTAAGAAAAAAAATTAATCTAAAAAATATTGTTAGTATAATAGTATAAATAAAAAACATTTTTGAAACTATAGGCATTAAAATTCAGTTATGGTACTATTAACTGGATGTAATAAAGCACCTCCTCACAACCCCAGTAGTTAGTGCCACTGACTACAGCATCCCAATCAGTCCGTGCTTACTTATCAAACGAATTTAATTAAAAATACTGGTAATTATTTTTTTTACGTACAGAATATTATATTTGTATATATCTTTTTATAATTTGAAAAGCGTAGATAATATATTAAATATTACGTTTATTATATTTCTTTTTAATATGTCTATGAAGATGAATTTTTATAATTAAAAGAAATTTAATCAATAAAAATAAATATAAATAATGTATATGGCATGATCAATTAACAATAAAGAATTAATTATAAAAATTTATTTATTTTTAGAAAAAAAAACTTTGCTTATTTATAATAGACTGATAGGGCATTAACGTATGTAATGCAACTAATTATTGGCAATGCCTTATTTATCTTCGACTCGAGACAACCACAATGATAATCGACTCAGATTATTTAACAGTTTATTTAGATGGAAGAAATCAGAAAAACAAAAACAAAAAGGTAGGTTTAATAGTTAAAATTTCAACGTAGTTTTCAATAATTTACTCTATAGATTTGTATCCAGAGATTAGGTCAAAATACTAAATTTTTATTTCACTATATTCAATAACGTGTTTAGCGAGTTAAATTGGGTTAAAATATTCTTAAATTGTAAAAGTTAAAGTTTGTAGTAAACAGAGACAGATGTAGAGAATAAGCTGGACTGATAAAAAACAAATGAAGATGTATTAATCTTCGGATTGGAAAACTAAAAAAACGTCGTAAAACATTTAATAACTTAGTTAACCAAAATAAGTTTTAGAAATAACTTAAAAGAGACGACATTATATAAGAATAATGATATAAACTTTTATATAATTATATCGTATTACACGAAACCGTTGATTTCTAGCACTAATACAGTATTTAAACGTTTTTGAACATTTTATATTTTAAATTTGCCTCGTTTATCTAGAAACAGTTTGAACTCGTTTTACACTTCCCGTTTATAAATCGGTCGAGAACCCATCGTGCCTTTGTGCTATGTATCGGGATTTGATTAAATTGGGCTGGGATATGTAGGTTTTCCCGTATTTTCTAGCACAAACGATACCCTTTAATGGAGAATATTAAATACAAATCTAATAATAAATAAATACAGCCAGGCAATTAAGCAAAAGTGAAGTATGTATTGCAACGAAAATGTCTGTGAAAACGAGAAATTCTTGCCCAGCTTCGCCGGCGTTATCTATACCTAGATCCAGAGATTTATTCCAAGACATGGAAGCTTTAAGAATATCAAGACATGACAATCCCTATATACAGGTAAATAAGTAAACAATATTTAATTTATTTGCAGTAGTTGCATTAAATACGATAATTACTCTTAACTGTACATCGTGACGGCCTGATCAAGAAGGCTAGGATGTGATCACACCCAGAGTTCCACATTTTATTTGAGTTTTTTTTTTACTTGCAGGAACAAATAGCCTCCGTGTCTCCCAAGGTTCCAGGTCATACTATTTATAAAAATTATAATAATTACAGATTATTCCTAAATATATTATTATATATTTATAAATAATCTACATTTTGGGGTAGATTTCAAAGAGGTTTCATTATTAAAAATGTAACAAGAAAATCAATATTTAATTGTAATTTCATAAATAAGTTTAATGAATTTTTTCTTCCTGGCTATAATATATTTTAATTTATTTTCAACAAAAAAGAGTGCATAATTTTATCAAAGTTTGAAACAAAAAATTAACAACATTGCGACTAATACAGGGTGGTAGATGCCCCAGAGAAAAAACATATACATGGTAAAGATATATTTTTTTCTGTTTTGGTACAAACAAATTGTTACAAGAAGTGAACAATTTTTTTATGTAGATCCCTTCCAGTGGCGTATTTATTGAGGTCTGTGGGTCCTGAACACTTCATGGATGTAAAATCATAGTAGTGGAGGGCTGAATCTCCCTAATACTCTATGCTCTAAAAGCCATTTGATCCGTTCCGTACAATATTTCTAAATACGTAATTGATCCACTCCCGAAACAAAATCCTAATTACCACACTGGACTAAAAAAAAATTATTTGAAGGTGGTCTACAAAAAAGTATTATCTCTACACGTGGATACAATGGTAGCAATATTCCATCAAAATCTCCAATTCATGACTATCTGAAGCTACTACCCCTTCCAAAATTTTTTTCATATCAATGCCTACAACATATCTTAATCCAACCATGCATAAAAGCTCTTCAAATAAATTACTCACTCCTTAAATTTTATTTCATTTTTAATATAAAAGTAAACAAAAATATTTTAACATTTTATTTCTATTTTACATAAATGTATAAATATATTTTTTTAGAAAAAAATAATAGCAAGTAGAGAGAGCTTATTGGAAGATAGTATTGATCATGTATCTATAACTGACGACATAGATATTATGGCTCAGGTAATTAAAACATTGACTTATATTATTAAATAATGATAGTCTTCAATAATTTTTTAAACATTAAAATCGTTCTAATTATCCCGATATTACAATATCAAAATTAATTTAATATATGTTTTATTCTAAATAATTAGTACATATTCATGGTTATCAAAATAACTCTAGTAAAAGACATGATAAACTTTTGTTCAATATGATTTCGGATTTTTTTAAAATGATAAATTGTAATTTTTAATTGAAAAAATTTTTTAGGAATATTTGGCTGATATGAACCCTAATGCATTAGTTGAACTCCATCAACACATGGTGAGAAGTCCCCCCCCGACATCGTGGCCACGAATCCCTCTATTTAAATTTGATGATAAAGATCAAGATCAGGTAATTCCAAAACTAAAATTATAATATATTTTATGGATTTCATTGTGATCGAAAATCTTATTTCAGGAACTGTTAGATGATAGGTGTGCAAGTCCACAAACAGTTCGTTCATTATTTCACAGTCCTTATTCAAGTAATTTTTTTTATGTTATTATTCTTTTCTACATATATCCTACCCGAGAGAAACTAAACATTAACGAAGACGAAGCTTTTTCCAATATAGGCACAACTTAAACAAAATATTTGGTGATTTAACTTAATTTCTTGCCTACTTAAAAATATTTCTCTATAAATGTACAAGTATTATTTAAATATAGATTCCATTAGATTTCGCCTATGCCTCCTTTAATTCAGTTTATTAAGAAATAATATTTCACAGCAAAATCTATCCATGGGATATTAAAATATCTTATAATCAACATTAAAATAATGATTTTAAGTTAAAATCATTATTTTATTTATTAATTTCTTAAAATTTTTAATTAATTAATTTTTTTTAATGGACGACGGTATTTTATAACTTAGTTTAATTGTTACAACTAATACATATTTTTTATTAATTATTATTTATTTATTATTTGAATAGCCAAAGTTTTAGGCATTCGTTCTGACACTTAGTTCATTTTCATAAATTTGGTTTAAGCTATTCTATCCCTCCAATTCTCAATTTAGAATTGTAGGTTCAGGACTGACCTTCCTTCCTAATGAGTCAATAATGTAAATGTATAATATTTTATAAAAATGTGTAAAAAATGATTATTCATAGGTGGTACTTCCAGTTGTATGGTTTCCCCGCGTTACAATCATCAATCTCGGTGTAGTCGATCAGTAAGTGAGACTCGAGGTAAACTTTAAATAAAAAAAAATATTGGATAGATTTTTAAGTGACAATATTAATATATTTTGTATGTATTTGGTTATGTACAAATATTTTATATAATGGAGACTTAAACTGTTATTATTTTAAAAACGTTATCATCATTATTATAATTTCTCAAAAATGTAACCAAAGAAATTGCTATTTTCAAAAATAACACTCAAAATCATATTTTAATATTATTCGCATATAATGAAAGGGGAAATATTAATATATCACTTCTATTTACTAATTTTGAGTAGAGTAAAGAAAAATCGATCCTAAAATGAATATTTTGTGCGTTTAATTACATAAATATAATTTATACTCAGTAATAAATTAGTAAATGTAATACTCGCTATACTAAAATAATTATTAATTTTATTTATTTATTTATCATAGTTCTGTGTCCAGTTTTTATATTTAATATTAATTATTTTTACTCCAGTTTTTTTTTTAAGTGAAGTGTAAATTCAAAGAGTTTAAACTTAAGTTCAAATTAAAATAAAGCTGGCCTCTCGATTTTTTTTAAATCATAATTTTGTTAAACTAATTTTTAATATTTTTTATTTTATATATTTCTTGATTTATTATATTATTAATTACTTTTTATCAAAATCCCTTTTAACTTATAGTGGTGTGAACTTTATTTTTTAAATACCAATATACATTTTTAATTTATAAGTTAATTAAATATACATGTAGCCATTAAAAAAATATTGACACCTTTATAAGAAATAAAAAACGAATTAATAAAGTATTTAATAACTAATAAATCAAGAAATATATGTACTTAAAAACTACCAATAATAATATTTTTAACGTAATTATTATTTTGAGAGAACTCGAGTAGCTAGCATTAAAAAAATCACTCTGTATCTAGTGATTTCTTTGTGAATTTAAAACAATTATGTAATTAAAGGAAATTATTTTTATGTTTCATTTATTTCAAAAGTCAATTACTATTAAAAATGTTCGTTGTATTTAAAATGATTAATATATTAATTTTTATCTAATATATACGTACTATGCATTTTAACATCATATTGCAATTTCACCAATTTTTATTATAAATGAAAAAAATATGATTGAATTAATCACATATAGAGAAGACTATTAATCGAATTTTTCATTTATCCTACAGAAAATACAGATGACCTAAACATTTTATACAATAATTATATTTTTTATTTTTAATTATCACTTAATAATATTTGAAAAAGGAGCCACTTTTCTTTTACTGTGACTTGTAAAGCGAGAAAAAAATATGTTTAGCTTTTTTAACATAGCTCTGAGATAAGCTCATGTCACCCATCTCCAATTCCGATCTTATCCAAACATAAATTTTTATGGTTAGATCATGATTAACTTTACATTAATATATTCAAAATAGAATACCAAAACAATATATTTCTGATGTTTAAACTCCTAATATTGCATTTTTATTTAATTTTTAAGTTTAAATTAAAAAATATTCGTATTTTAAATATTTTTTATATTATTAGTATATTTTCTTTTAGTATTTATTGTAATACTTTTTAAATACATTTATTTAATACATTTTAAACTAGAATAAAATTATTTAACGGATGCTAGTTTATTTATCAGTAAAGCATTCATAATATTTTAATTTTAATTCAAACAAATTTTCATATAATTATACAAATTGTATTGCTTTTATTAAATAATCCATTAATGATATTTGAAAAATTTTATTATATTTATTGAAAAAAAAAAAGGTGAGAGATTTGATTAATTAAATTAAATAAATTAAAAATATCAGTAACAATACGAAAAATGTAACTTATGTCTATTAGTATAAAGCTATAAATGTTTTAAATTTTACATGTTACACATCACATGTAATACTTAGTAAAAGTTAAAAAGAAAGAAAACTCATTTTACTATTGCGCATTTTTGTAAGCAATTAAATTACTAAATTAAGTTATTTTCTAATCTTTTAACAAAACTATCTAGTCAATATTCAACTTATAAACTAATATAGAATTTTATAAAAATAAATTTATTAGTGTTAGATATAGAATTTGTGATATTTCATTTGTTATGTAATTTTTTATAAAGTGTAAAGTATTTATCAAATAATGTTATATTATAAAAATTGATTGTAAAATTTTTACTTAAATATTTAAACACCAACATTTTAATGAAAAATCTATTACAAATATATAATTCTGAATAAAGTAAATATTTGCTTTATGGTGTCTATTATTCTGTTAGTGATTTTTGGTTACCAAATTTAAAAAATAATCATTATACTTCATAGAAATCTGTTTTTATCGCTAACTAATGTTAAAAATGAATCTAGATTATTATATTATCAATGTTATATTTTTAAATTATTTTTGAGATTATAGGTTTGTCCATTATAATTGCAATAAATATTAAATTTTGTTAATCTCATTAAAAGTCCTTTTGATGAACGAAATCAAATATTTGTAATTCTTTATATGGAACAACTATGTACATGATTTGGCATTTCAAATATTCTTTTTATGTATAAATATTATTATGATCAATATTACCTATTATAGTATTATAATATATTTATAAAACAAGTTGTTTTAAAATGTACAATGCATAATTTGTTTATTGAATAAATGAATACAGTTACAATTTAGTTATAATTTTATCTTGTAATTTATTTATGATGAAAAATGTTTGTGTATTACAATTTTTTTTAGGTGAAGAAGTTTAAAGGATATTTATTTTGATTTTTTTATGTAACTTAAAAACTACCTCTTATTAAAATATGAATAATAAATCAGATCCGGACAAGGAGCTTCTGCGTCACAGTTTACTTTCCACCCCTTTCCTCCAATAAAATATAGTTAATTTATGGAAACAACGAAAAACTACATTGGACTAAGCCTCCACAGCCTCAAACAAACTATACTTATATTACTTACAAATATATTACAAATAACATTGAAAATAAGTGAACCAAAATACCGAGGAGTATACTTTAGAAACACAAATGTGTTAAATACTCGGGAAAAATATTTTTCATCCCTCATAATAAAAAAAATACGTAATTTATCATATACAATGTGTGTTCATGGATAATAATTACGCATTTAAAAATATACTTATTTCGATTGGAAATCTAGAATTTTTCTACTAAAATCTATTACCTTTTCCCAAATTTTCATACTATGACTCATAAGCTTTATGTCTCTATAATTTCCACACTCCTGTATGTCTCCTTTACCTTTAAATATCGGCACCACAATACTATTCCTCCATTCATTTGGTATTTTCCCTTCTAATAAGATTTTATTTAAAAGTTCCTTCATCCACATTATGGCAACACCACCTAATATTTTTCATACTTCTACTGGCACTTCATATGGTCCCACTGCTTTATTCTTTTTCATTGATGCCATAGCCTCCGATACCTCTTTCTCTTTAATTAAATCTATTAGTCACTCATTCCACGAGATATCCTCTAACGTCTCTTTTGGATACTCCTCATTCAGTAATTTTTCAAAATACTCTTTCCGCCTTTTTTTCACATCATTATCACTCAAGAGTACCCTATCATCAGCACTTTTTATACACCTTATATAATGATAATCTTTAGTCCTTTTCTCTCTTACTTTTGCAAGTCTCTAGATATCTTTCTCGCCTTCCTTTATTACTAGCCTATAATACAACTCATCATACCTCTTTGACTTCGCCTTACTTACTCCACACTTGGTTTCTTTGCACAAGCGTTTATACTCCATCCAATCTTCTCTCCTTTTGCTCTTCTGTCATATTTTAAATTGCTTTTTCTTACTTTCTATGATTTTTTGAACGTCCTCATCCCATCATCAGGTTTCCATGTTTCCTGGCATTCTACTCCTACTATCACTTACAATCTCCTTTGCAATATTCTTTACACAATTAGCAAATCTATTCTACACATCATTTATGTCTCCTTCGACATTCCACACTGTCCTCTCTTTTACCGTCTTAACAAACTCTTTTTCATTTTCCCCTTTCAATTTCCACCAACGGATTTTTGATTTTTCTCCCGTGTTCCTTCTGTTTTTGTATATTCTTTTCCCGGTACACCAAAAATCCATTACTATCAGTCTATGCTGTGTAGTTACACTCTCGCCTGGTATAACTTTACAATTCTTTACTCGCTTTACGCTCTCTTCCACGTAAAATAATCAATCTGTGATATATTCCTCTCACTCTTATAAGTTATATGATGTTCTTCCCTCTTTCTAAAATAAGTATTAACCACAGCAAGATCATACGATACTACGAAATCCAGGATTTTTTCTCCAGCCTTATTCTTTCTACTAAAACCATACCCTCCATGTACTCTTTCATATCCTCTCCTCTCCTACTTTGCGTACAATTTTTTTATGGACGACTAATTCAACTCCCGCTTTTTAACTTTGGAATGTTTAATTAGCTCGGTACGATTATGTTTTTCATGATCCAGCAACAGTCGTCTTCCAATAGGAGTACCGTTATGTCGTATATGGCTAATTTCTTGGCATATACATATATTGCATTGTAATGTAATTAATAATTATCAATGAAAAATTTATAATTTGTATTTTATATTACTTGTAAACAAACAAATAACTTGTAACGTCACAAATTTAAAGGTGGATCGTTTATAATTTTTTTTTATGTCTACCTATTTATTTTATCGTGCGATAAATTATTATTATTTATTTTAGTCCATTTGCAAACTTATCTGTCATAACATGTATACTGTCCAATACAATATCTTATTATTTATATATATGTTTATTTATCCATTGTTAAATATCCTATCTCAATATAATAATACCCTCCATGTACTCTTTCATATCCTCACCTCTCATTACCTACATGTCCATTTATATCTCCACCTATCACCACATTCTCATTGCCAGGTACCCCTTGCATCACCTCATCCATCTCTCTCCAAAACACGTCTTAGTCTATTTCATCACATCCTACTTGTGGTGCATAGGCACTTATTACATTCAGCACTTTTTCCTCGAATATCAATTTCACGACCATAATTCAGTCACTTTTCCTAGCTACTTCTACTACTTTACTTTTCATTTCCTCATCCATTATTATCCTTACACCATTCTTTGTACTATACTTCCCTGAGTATATTATTTTATAACCCTCACCTATTTCCTTTGATTTTTCTCCTTTCCACTTAGTTTCCTGCACACAACAAATGTTGATTTTTCTCCTCTTCAATACTTCTATTAATTCTCTACTTCTACCAGTTAATATTCCAAGTACCTATTCTTACTCTGTATCTATCTTTTTTTCCTCCCTCATACACGAGTCCAGCCTATAGTTAAGTGGTGATGTGCCTACACCGTTGGCACTACTAGCGTTGGGTAGACCTGTACACATGATTTTTGAAACAACTATCGCATAAGTTGTCCGGCTGGTATCAAACACTTTATTCCTTAGGCCTTCTCCGTTTTTAACTACTTTCTGTTGTCCCCGTGTATATCCAAGATGGGACAATCCGCCTAAGTTTTGTTCAGGATTCCTCATACTTTTTTGACCAATAATTTTTTTTATTCGTATTGAATCTTTGTCTGAGATAACTGCAATTTAATGATAGTCTTAACATATATCGTTCAAGAATAATTTATACAAAAAAATGAGATATATTAATAAATCACATCAAATATCGACACAATTTACAATTTGTAAAAATGATACACGATTAATTGTTTGTAAAAACAAATTTTTTATAATAATTGGTGGTTTTATGACTCAAAAAAAAATAAACTTCATTAATGATATTATTAAAATTACTTATAACTTTTAATTACTTATAATAACTCATTATTATAAGTAATATAGTAATATATAATAATTATTATAGAGAAAGAAGAAGAGTGTAGAAAATCTATTTAAACAAATGATCGACGGCTTTATTGGCGTATTACTCGAATTTTCTAACGGAGGTTATCATTTATAGATTATTTATTAGAACGTCGCACAATGGACTGAAACCGAATTTTAGGCGCTTATAAGTCACATTTGAAAATGTACTCATAATGTTAAAATAATTATGAAAACTCAATTTTAGTACATTGCTTAGACAAAATATAAAATTTCAAAGTCACATGTTAATCCGGTCATTATTTATAGCCGTTTAAAGTATAGATATGGTTATTTTAACATAAAAAAGGTCTTTCGTGGTCAACTTTTTTAACAAGTTAAAAAAAAATTTTTTCAAATTTTTTTTTTAAATCTTTGACCTTTTATTTTAATAAAATAAAAAATAGAATATTTTTTGACTAAGTATTGGTTGTATTATTAAAATAAAATATTTCTTGAGTCGTTTTTGAAAATAAAAAGCACAATACTTAAAATTACTCTATTTTATCCAAGTATTAATACACAGATATTGTAGAACAAGTTGTCTAGATTTCAAAAATATAATTTTTTTTTTGCTCCTGGACAAAAATAACTGTGTATAAGGCTAATAAGATTATACCAATTCGTACATTTTTTGTTTACAATTAGCTTTCATTTATTTCAATTTCTGATATCGAAAAGTTTAAGTTATTTATTTCATCTTCGACGTTCGATTCGGATTTGACAAATAAATTTTGCATACCAATAGAAAATGTATATAATGAAGATTTTATGCATATGCTATTAGTATCATGTGATCCATATATATCATCAATAAAATTATTTTCAAAAAAAAATTTTCTATTGATGTGGTGGTCGTTGTCATACAACAGCGAGGCGAACATACTGCAGCGGACGGGCAATGGTTTATGCGTCGGTAGTTATTATTATATTGCAATATACAGATAGTTCGAAACTGCAAGTCGGACGAGAAGACGGACAAGGCGCAACATACGGGCAATAACATATAAATCGGTAGTTATTATACAGTATAATTGCGGCCCCTGACCGTCCGGCCCATCGACCAAACGGTCTGTGTTTCAGGCTATCCCAAATTATAGAGTTCAACAAACAATCATGGAATATTAAAAAAGCCATTAAACATTTTTAGATCTGGGGATTAAAATACGTACCCTTTGTTTACGATGACATTTAGAAAACTGTATATAAAGTCATTTAACTAATATAAAAAATAATATTATTTTTATCTAAGTTTAAAAATCTAGATCCTCGCAACACTAGTTATAAAAATGTTTTTCCAAATAGTACTTATTTTTAAATTAAAGACTAATTTATTTTTGAAAAGATTATTCCTTTACCAATAATAACCAAAAATGATAACAAACCGTAAACGTTTGAAATATTTTAGCATAACAGTGTAGATTAATTGTACATAATATGTTATTTTCAAATATATCTTGATAACTCGTGGTAATACTTACGATTATCAATAAATATAAATTGTTGTTTTTTATTCTGGATTGACTTTACACCAAGGTTAAAAGTTAATGTTTTCGAATTAAAAAGAATAAAAATAGAAACTGTTCTAATATTCCATATGGTTAACGTTATTATGAACAGACAAGCCATACATTGTTCATATAATTATTTACTTGCGGTGTAAATTTGAAAAGGAAAATAAAAGTGTATAATAGTTTCGTCATTTTTTTTATTGAAATTTATTTTAAACACATAAGAGTAACATAATTTTAAGAAAAAATATTTTTCTTTGCATGCTCGTTTATGGCTTATTTTCAATTATACGCACTTTACATGAGTAACTAAAATCACAGAATAAAATATATTTTATATTTTTTGTAATATAAAGTGTTAAGAGAGGTTTATAAAATATTTTTCAAGAACATTTTCAATCACATTTGCGTAATCGTAGGATTAAAAATATTTGTATACTAAAAACATCGATATAAATCATCAACTTTTTGTATTTTAATACAAAACTGCATATAAAAATATGATTATTATTATTATGTTCATATAACTATTATCAATAATGTAAATTAGCAAATCATAGATAGATGGCGACAGTGTTAAATTCATACATTTTCTTCACGGAGAGTTCTATTAGCATTGACAAAAAAAAATCTGTTTTTTAATCATAATTTCCTAAAATTGCTACAAATAATAGTTGATTAGCAAAAAAAGATCTTAAACTAAATAATTACTAAACGTTACTCCATATTTTAAAAATTGCTTGTTAAAGAGGTTCCAACACCCTGAAGTAGTATACCTAAATTCAACACTTGATGGCGATTATTTAAAAATATTCTTTAAAATGCTACATAAACTCTTTAAGTTAATTTAAAAATAATACATTGAAAACCAGTGAATTTCTTAACAAAAAATATTAGAATTACTAATAAATATATCTTTTAATTGTCTAAGAGACCTGTTATGGTAAATGTTAAAAGAATCTTAAGCAACAAAAGATTTCTGAACTTAGATGAAAACAATAGCCGGTCGCGATACCGGTCATAACGCTAGCCACGGCTACTTCAAGGTTATGAACGTACGATTATTTTAAACATAAGTTATTGCAGTGGTATGTATTATTGAGGTCGTTTAAATGAAATATCAAATTCACGATTGGAAGTGGAGCCAATGTTTAATGTAAAAAATATTCTGTCACGTAAAATATCCATGGTAACGATTTTTAAAAATGTAAAGTAAAATTTTTAAAATTTTCCATCTATTTTACTAGTTAAAGTTTTAAAAACTTATCACAGAAATTAATCCTATCGGGAAGATAAAATTTAGAGAAAAATTCATGTTGAAACGTTAATTTGTTGATCAATAGATGAAAATTTTAAGGGACATGATACAAGACAATCTATAGATATACTAAATTTTAGGGTAATGAAAGGGTCTAAGAAATTTCTAGAACGCAATAGTTAGTCATTGGGTGGTGGCACATATGATCGAAACCTTGTTCCAGCTCAGCGGCTGCGACGCCGCGTACCGGCATGGAGCGCCGCTACGACCTTGATATTTATTATTGTTTACATCGCGCTCAGCTGTAGCCAATCGCAACGGCCTGTCGGCTTACTGCGCAGTTTGTCTGGAAGCAGTTTTGCGTATTGAGCATAAAAATATCGTAACGCATTCGGCATCGCATGAGCTTTACGTCACGTACTCCGTTTTTCAACTTGTATTCTTTTATTATTACACTTTTATTTAAATAATATTTTCATTTTATTATTCCTAAATTTAATCTGGTCATTAACTTACGTTGTGTGCTCTAATTTATACTTATCGTTCTGTTAGATATATATATATATATATATATATTAGTCAAGTATTTCAACTGGATACCTTGCGTAGAAACTTTTATATTTACCGGCAATTGCAAAGGTGAAACCGGTACGCCATGGCTGATGTCAGCGATGCTGTAATTGACGTGGTGGCTTCTGAGGCAATCAATGGATGTTCAATCACCGGAGATAGCGATTATTCGGACAAGACCGGTGATGTTTCATCTGTGGAGATGCGCGTGAAGCGTAAAGCCAAGAGACTGGCCAAGTCCTTATCACGGGATAGTGGCATTGTCAATGGTCATGGAGGCACTGCCACCGTAGTGCAATTGAAGAGACGTTGGAAGAACAATAGAAAGTCAAGAAATGGTTTCAGTAAAACCAGAGGTGATGCTAAAAAAGGTAATATAAATACCTAAAGAAGGGAATAAGATGGTTAATTATATTAATTTGTTTGTTTAATACATGTGGTTTGAATACTATGCATAATGTTTATATATTTGAATGGGCCACTTCATTTCCACTTAGTAAATAGTTTTTAATTAAATCTTCTTTTACCCATTTATGAAATCAACATATATTCATTTATATTAGCGACTTTAAAGTTTTCTATTTTTTAATTATTTAATAAAAAAATCTTGCATAGGGAATCAAAAAGTAAGGAAAAGTATTTCTTGTATTTCCGTAATGCATATAAATTTACCTGTCTATTTAATTATTGAACATCGTATATATTGGGATATTTATTCCAATTCATTGACTTTCATATTTTTTAATTCTTTTTTGATACTACATACAAGTATAATTCAAAAAATGATTTAGTAGAAATAAATAATATTAGTTTACTCTGTCACAATTTTAATATTTTGACACTCATTAATGTTGTTTAATCTAAATTAAGGTATAAAAAAAAATATTAGAAACCCTTTTTACCCTGTTCCCTAAGTATGCTGCTGCTCTGTCATACTTAATTTAAGTTGATTAAATAAATTAGTCAATAAATGTACTGCAAATATTTATGCAATTAAGTTTATCCAGCTATTAGAAGGGTTAAGAAACTTTTTGGGAATTCCAATATTTATAAATGTTCTATGTACTGCTGTTAGTATTATTATATAGAAACTTGTTTATATAACTGATTCTTAAAAATTGTTTGTATCAAATTAGATGAATAAAAAAACTATTGTTCTATACAATTATTTTACATTGAATATTTTGATTTTATTTGTTTAATTTACTGGGATGACAACCTGGTTTTATTACTTAAAGCATCATTTTTATTTTAGGCGGTGCTGGTGGTAAAGGTGTTTGGGGAAAATTAGGAGAAGAGAGTGATGTTGATCCTGCTATTGATATTAAGGATCCAAACTATGATAGTGATTTGTTAGATGATGATAATATTGTTTTGCGTGAAATCACACCCGAGGCATCAGATGAAGATCTCAAAGTAATAAGTTGAATAATTAATTTTTAGGTGAATGAAAACTAATATGATCAATTTTAAATATTTTTAGAACTCTATTACTTTCAATATTTTAGAATACTATGAGCATGGCGATACTGAAGAAGCAGCAATGGTGTTGAGTGAACTCAACATTGTCAGTAAATGGCATTTGGTTAGTAATCTAAATCTAATTGTTTTCCAATAAAGGGTTAAATATTATTAATTTTTGTTTAATTTAGATTACTCAAGTTGCTGTAGAAGTAGCGCTTGAACATAAACCATCTCAACGAGAAATGACATCGATATTGTTGTCTGATCTTTATGGTCGCCTTATAAAGCAAAAAGAAATTGCTCAGGGATTTGATGTCATACTTTCTAACTTGCCTGATCTCATTCTCGACACACCGGATGCTCCAATAGTCGTTGGCTGTTTCTTAGCTAGAGCTATAGCAGACGATTGCCTTCCACCAAAAATTATTGACTTTTTCAAAGAAAAAAATTATAGTGATCTAGCCAAGTAATAGAGTTAAATAATTTTTTTTTTTAATGTATTTTGCTTGATGTATATTATAATTATTTTCAGTCAATCATTGATAAAGGCTAATAACTTGTTAAATATTAAACATGGTCTAACTAGATTGGATAATGTGTGGGGTGTTGGTGGGAGTTTAAGACCAGTACAGTACCTTGTAAGACAGATGAATATGCTGTTAGACGAATATCTATGTTCTGGTGATCTTCAGGAAGCTATTAGGTGCATTCTGGAGTTAGAGGTACCACATTTCCACCATGAACTTGTGTATGAGGTAATGTAAATATTTTCTTCATTCTTAGAGTATATTTTATTGAAGTAAAATTTCAGGCTGTTGTTGATGTGATTGAGGCTATGAATACACATACTGAAGTTGCCATGTGCAAGTTACTTAAAGCTTTATATGATGCAATCATAATAACTCCAGAAATGATGAATAAAGTATGACGTATTTTGTACTGAAATATTTATTTTCTTTTATAAAATACTTTAACTAATATAATATTATAGATTATTTTATTTAAAGAAAAGCATATTTTACTTATTACTCTTTTAATTTTTTTTAATAAATAAAGACTTATTTATATTCTAACTAGCCTATTTGGTGACCAAGAGTGTTACTGCAAAACTTTCTCTTTCTAAACTAAAATATATATACATATACATGCTTAAGTTAATTTTAAGATTATTTTTCTTTTTATATTTTTAATTCTAAACTAAGGGTAAGCTGTGAAAAAAAGGTAGTTTCATTTTTTTTAATTTATGAGAATAGTTTATAAAGTTTTATACTTCAATATAATATAAAATTGTGTTGTTATTTATTAAATTTAAAACTAATACATTAAAATGATCTTTGGTATAAAATAAAGTTTTTTTTTTTTTTACAACTTACGACACATTTAAATGCCACCTAAGTATCCAATTACCTAGTGTTTGCAACAAACCTTTTAATTTGGAATTATTTTGATATATTGCCTTTAAATGCTAAAAAGTTTTTTTTTTATATAATTTTTAGGGTTTTGAGAGAGTGTTTGATGTTCTTGATGATATATCTATTGATGTGCCATTAGCTCCAGCAGTCCTTGAACGTTTTATTGACAAATGTATTAATGCTGGATTTTTACAAAAAGATATATTGCAAAAGATCCCAACAAGGTACATTAATTTATTTTAAAATATGTATTTTGAATTAATTTTAATTTTATGTTTTTGTTATAGGACATCTCGGAAACGTTATGTCTCTGAAGGTGATGGTGGTCGTCTCAAAGAAGCATAAAAAGTCAACATTTTATTAGACCTTTTTCTTCTGAGTACAGTATTTTCTATTTTTTGTTTTTCACAATAAATTTTTATTTTTGTCAGTTAAAAACCATTTAAGATTATTTTTTATTTACTATAATATAAGTTTTTATTTGCGCATTAAATTAAAATTTAATTATGTTTTCCAAGTATTCTTTATAATATTTTTTTTTTATTGATATCAAATATATCATTTTTTATGATTTTAATAATAGGTAAAGTGAAAGTTGGTATCCAAAAAGGAAGTTTAAAGTTGTTTGTACTCGTTTTTTTTTTTTTGGACTATTTATAATTTTTCTTCTAACTTTTTATATAACTACATATTTATAATATAAAATGTGTTTTACATATACTAACAAAGTAAGATTATAATAGATTATTACATTATTTACTATAATAATAATATTTGACATTTAATTATTATTATTATATTTACAAAACATACTGTACTCTTTAAATTCATAAATTCATATGAATTAGTATTTAAAAGTAGAAGATGCTATATAATATTAATTCTGTTCTAATCGCTACTAATTTCATGTTTTGAAATTCATAGTTTGTGTAGTAGTGATTTTTTTTGTATTCTAATTTTTATTGTAAATTTAAATGAAATAAAAATTTACAATTATTATGCAGTGTGTGTGTTTTCTTATTATAAAAAGAAAACTTAAATTAAATTGTAGTGTAACTAAGTTCAACACTCAATTATTTCATTTAAATACTCTTTTAAAAGCAATAAGGTCTCTGTAATGTTTATGTGTTATACAATCTCAACTAAAATCACCATTAAATTTGGTATAGGTTTATATTATTTATTTTGTTGTAATTTTTATAACAAATAAAAACTGTTAAGTTGCAAATAAAGAAAAAATTAAACTTAAAATAAATTATTATGTAGTGCTTTTTTTCAAACCCACTGTTCCAAAATACAATTGACACCTCTGAATGAACAGAAAAATTTTATTTACAATTTAAGTACTAATTATTGGATAAGTACGCTGAGATATGTACAATGGTGTTCTTAAAATTGACCTATGATGGTTTGAATATTCTACAGTTTGCAAATTTTATTGTAAATTATGAATTTTTGAGCAACTCTTTAAGTTACTAATTTAATTTCATCAAAATGTTGCACTTCAATTTCAAAGGAGATAATTTTGTCAATTTCAAAGAAATTGCAGTCCAAGGAGTTTCCTCTTGTAAAAATTTTTAAATATACATTTCATATATTAAGTATAGTTTATAGCATTAAGTAGCTAAAGAAAAATTTTTTTTGCCCCTCCCCTCATTAAATTATGGCCACGAGCCTGCTGACTACAATCAAATGTTAACTTCAATTTGAAACTACAAGGATATTAATTTTGTTGTGTCTGTCTCATTAATACTTATACTAGACTAATGTTAATAATCAATACGTATACAATCTTAAATTTATATAGCAGAAAAAATTCTTAGTTTTTTTAGAGAAAATAGTAATATAAATCGAATATGTAAGGATGAACATGACATTTTTATAAATAAAAATAATAACATTTAATAAACTTGATAGTAATACTCTAGACAATAACTTTTTTTTTAATATATTTTTTTGGAAATACGAATAATAACATCAGTAAAGTTTGAATATCGTCTTGAAAAAAAACTACGTTATTTATTTAAAAAAATATTTTTGTAATAAATGAGTCTTCATACAACAGTACAGATAATTATACCTATAAATATATAGGTAATTTTGGGGTTCAAAATCACATTTTTTTCCATCCAAAAAATTTCAATATAAAAATGCAAATAATTTTATTGAATTTCTGAGGGACTTAGTTTCTCAAACATTTCTCATGATAGGCCTATGACGCGTAGAATATTTTATTAACCCCGTAAATTTATGTTTAAGGGTTATGGTGTTCGACAAGCGAAAAAAATGATATTAATGTTTTCGTTCTTGGCCAAAAATAACATAGATTTCGTTTAACAGACATTTGAATATTTTATTAAATCGGAGATTGTAAAGAGCATAGAGCAACTCTATAGTAAAAAGAGATGTCGTAATACCACAGATAAGATAAATATTATCTCATCTCTGCTAACACAATCTCATCCGAGGGTAATTATTGGATGATCATTATGCGATTTAAAAAAAATGATTCCTATATGCCTAGAGCATCACTTTTTTCTTTGATGAGTATTATGAAAAGTATCAGGTTAAAGTAAAAGTAAAGGTTAATGAGGATATACGCCTCTGCGTGCTTTTTAGAAGAAATAACTTTCAGGCAAAATGAATGATCCGTACAAATATGACCACAATGTGTCGCTCCTATACGATATGATGGTGTTTATTAATCTGCTTGGTCTCATATTATTCGAAGGAGACAAATCATTGATTGATAATAATTTTCAATATTATAAAAAAAATTTCATCTCACATAAATTACCGTTCGTGCAACAGAGCGCGATAAGAAATGATAGAATATTTGGAAAGGTATAATAACAAGCCTTTATAAAAACCTAAAATAGTAAAACTCGGTGTTACGAGTTATGGGTACAACTAAAGCAAAAATACTATAAGTACTGAAATTTTGTTCACAAATCCGTTTAAGCGAAGCCACCACATCCCCAATTGCCATTCCTTAAATATTTGTTAACCAGGACCACTGTAAACAAATAAAAAAATAATAATTTTTTTTACTAATGACCATTATTATTAATACCTTTTACGGTTCATCTTATTATCATACTTATAATTATCAAAATAATCACAAAGACATTTCAAATTGTATAAAACATTTAATTATTATTTATGTCAATTGTCAACTACTGATAAAAAAAAATTCATCATAAAATGAGAAATAGTTATTTTCACGTAACTTTGGTGAATTATTACCACACGCCTACTAGATGACAACATGTTACAAGGGACATAAAAGACAAATTTGAGGCACCTTACGGGACGGGTTGTAAAATTCCAGAAACCGTAGATTACATCATAGCTGTGATTACTGAGAGCTCGTTCACAAGCAGTACAATTATCCAAGTCTCATAAATGTCAGTAGATTTAATAAACGGTACATTTGTAAGGCCTGCAAATTGAAAAATAAAGTTTACTTTTCTATCAAAATGTTCAACGATTTACATAATATACAATTTGTATTGTTTAATATTTTATTATTATTATATAGATGACTGATTTCTTTCTCTAGCTGATTTTATTCGTTATGTATTGTAGTTTTGGCTGGGTCAATATTGCATCCATGTATTTTATTTTTATTTTTTAATTGAGAATAAAATAAATATAATAACACGTACGAAGGCATATAAATCGTTATTTTTTATTTTTAATATACATTTTGATTACTTCCATAAGTAATAGCTCATGTTTCTGATAAGAAAATAAAATTAATAAATAACAATTGTACTCAAGTTTTTAAAACATACCAATCATTATTATTAATTTTTTTAAGTTTTAAATGTAGTAGGTTATACTTTAATTGTTTATTATGCTGTATAATTAAATTGAATTAAGATAAATAACGAACAAAACAGGAACATTTAAGTTAATGGACCAATAAGAATTATATTGCATTTATTTATGCAATATTATTTAATTCTACACATTATTAAATGCCGACACTTATAGAAAAATATACATTTGTACAAAAATCGGGCCTTATTTATTATATATTTTATATTATTGATAGTATATAATGCTAACTTAGTATTATTCTATTTTAATTAGTATAACTTTTCGAATACCCAAGAAATACTTTTTTGAATTATTATATCAAACATAAAAATTATTTTATATTTCATTTATTAAATAAAATAAATTACAATAAAATTAAAATTGATGCCCGAAAATTTTAAATATTCACATTTTGTATTGTATAACTCTTTTTGCAATATATTTATATTCATGTTATAAATTACAAGATTACCAAATACATATAATTGATTTGTTAATCAATCATAACACTTCGATTTTTTAAGTTAAAATACATGTATTTATACGATCTTATATTAATTCCTCTAGGAATTACAAATATAGATAGTTAACTGTTTCTTTACCAAGTTGCTATCACAGATACGCAGCGGTTATTGCCAATTACAAAACTATTGAGTGATAATATTAAGGTAGTTTTAAGACAATATTGCCACTGATTCAATTGCATCGCGATTTTTGCAACGCTATTTTTAAGCTTTCGGTTGAACTGAAGGCTTAAAAATAAACATTCAAAATTTTCGAAAATGTAATGCGTATTTATTCCCGGTAAATATAATATTTGACAATAAACACTGTGTATTTATGAATACACACGCCATAAACGAATTATTAGCCTAAATATTTTATAAATTAAAATCCGATAAACTGAAATGTTTAGGTGCATAAAAGTATAACAATTGTTGTGCATCAAACATTTAAATACGTCTCTGGTTCGGAACAATTACTAACAAAATTGACGACCAGGGCCGGATTAGTAAACGAGCTAACAACGTAATCTCAGTAGGCTTCAATAATTTGGACACCCCCACAAGACGAGAGTATTAGACTTAGAGAGTAGGGTCCTGGCCATATTTCAGTTATATCATTATTATTTGTCCCTCTCACAGAAGCATTATATAGATGAGTCTGGCCACTTGGCTGTTTTAATGTGTCGTTATATTAAGGCGTTTTCGGGGAAAAATAGACGAGTTGCTAGATCTCTATCTGGTTGTGTTTTTATGAATAGGGCAGTTATTACTGTCCCTGATATGATAATTTAACTGAAATAATAATTATAATTTTATAGTGATAACTGGAAGTAAGGCGCGGGTACTTCTGCTGTTTTTATCACTAGACATTTCTAGGCCTCAAACTTCAGTATAAAAGTGTTAATAAATTCTGAAATACCGATCCAAAGTGTTATCGAATCATAATTTTCTTAATTGTGTCATTCTTATTTTATAAGCTAGTTAATTACGTATGTCACCATTTTACAAATAAAGTTGACACCCTTATAATGTATAAAGAATGATCATAAAAAATACTTAATGATTGACAAACTGAGAAAAACATGTATCGTAAAGAAATAAAAAAATTAAATTATAAGTGTTTCTTATATTTAACAAAAATCTACTAGTTCATTAAATTTTGATGACTTTGTATATTAAGTGTATTTAAAATTAAAATTAAAGTTTTCTTAGTAAAACACAATCACTCATGATAATTTCTGTATCTAGAAGAATGAACACAAGTTTTAAATTAAACTTATTGTTTAATTCATTATATAAATCCCTATCAAGTATTATATATTATTATATCATATCATATTTATTGAGATAAAAGTATTCAATTTAAAAAAAGAGAGAAAATATGTTTTCTCTCATTTAGATATATTATGATATCAGTATTAGATGTACGAATATCCTGTTTATCAACAGGAAGAACGCATTTCCTTTTGTTCTTTACTAATGTTTGATACCAATTGTTTTATTATTTGCTATAGTTATTAATTGAAACTTAAGCACATCACACATTATAATATTGTCATTTAAATTTTTCATAAAATATAAGTAATAAAGTAATCGCTCTTTTTTTGGTCTTCTAACATTCAATTATTATAGTTAGCTGCCTAAAAAAGAGTTATTAAATATTACGATACATCAGCAAATAGGGAAAAGAAGCAGTGAATGAAAATAAAATAACCTATTTTTAATATAAAAAATAAAAGGTAGAGTATATTTAATTATTTTAAAATTAGTCCATAACAATGATGTAATGAAATATGCAATGTAGTATTTTTAAATTTAACAATATTGGCAATCGTCATATTACTATAAATTGACTGTACAGAAGACTGCGTATTAAATAATAATTTCGACTAATTATTCCTTCCATAAGTACTTTTCCAGATGCATTCTAAAAAAAAGTATACATTGTATTAAAATAATATTTAAATTTCTTTCTCTTACACAAGCATTAAGTTACTTATAAAAATATAATAAGAATTGATCACTTGTGGCTAATATTATTTTAAATAAAAAATATATTTAAAATATGAATTAAAAACTAAAAAATATTAAAAATGTTTAACTTAAAAAGTCATAATAAATACCAAAAAATTGGATTTAGTATTTCAGAAACAATGTTACAATCATCAACACTGAACACATACTGATGGTTTAGTAGTGTCTATGTAAGTGTTTATCTGTAATAAGGTAACATTATTGCCAAAATATGTATATGTAATTATTTAGTTTTTTATATAGCTTTTTAAATTAAATACATTTTATTTTTAAATTAGTACTTTAAATATGTTCTTGATTTTAAATAAAATATAAAAATAAAAAAAAATCTATAATACATATCATTTTTTAAACTGGCTTTCCTTTAAATTATATTTTTGGTAACAATTATAATATTAAAGCTAACTTACTCGACGAACACAAACTGTACGATTACAACACCAAAGAACACCTTCTGAAAGTTCACAAGGTATATTATTTTTGGATAAAATTTGTTTAAAGTCCGATAGTTTCAGTTGATTAATGAATATTGTCTTATGAGGTGGTACTTCCTACAAATAAAATAAATAATTAATAAAGTCTGTGAATAAAAAATTTACCAGGGAGAAACAACAAAAATGTTATTATTTCACACTGTAAATACATTTGTTTTTAATTTACTATTAAAAGTTTATAATTTCTATTTAATATAAAATTGAATACTATACTTTTTTCTAATTTAAAATTATTTAAAATTTTTAAATTGTTTTAATAATACAATTGAGAAATTCAATAATAACAAACTTTAAATTTTATTTGACTAATTTTAAAACTCAGGAAAACAGTATAGAGGCAAGGTGTGTATTGCGCTTGAAGTTTTTATATGGTCACCCATCTGAGAAAATTAAAAATGCAACTAAACATCAGTACTAAAGTAGTGACTGAATAGTTCACTGTACTACACCATGTGTCAACTCTAGATTTTTCAAATATATTAAAAATATAGAAAATATTTCAAATTAATCTGTTCCATTCAAATATACTTTGTAAACATTTTAAAAACATGTGATTTATACATATATTTGAGATTACATTATTTTTATTAATTCCCTTGTATCAGGCTATAACTAAGGTCAGAAGCAATCCCTTTAACGGCTTTTAGTTTGAGGAATTGTGCTCACTTTTAGTAATCTAACAGGAGAAACTGAAAATAGCCAAAAAATGCACTTGACAATAAATATTAATATAAATTTGTGTTGACAGTCAAGCTAAATTAGCATACAACTAATTTAAATAAGTTTCTACTGATTTTATATTTAAAATGAAAAATATAAAACTACTCCATTTTTAGATAATACAGTGGAAGCCGCATATTAGAAACACGGATAATTGTTACAATCGCGTTATTGAAACAAAATGCCCCGGGACGGACCGGCCGTATATTAGAACATTGAAAATAAATCGGATTATTGAAACATCATATCGGTTATTTGAAACAATTCGGTTGATATATACACTGGTTATCCGGCGATAACTAATGAACTTTAATCTTATCTTCGCTGTCTTTACGTTTATTTTTAAACGTGTGTTTATTATGTATGAGAATGCTCTTCCCTGTGCGTATGTTTTGTAGATCAGCTTCGGTTAAACGTAAAGGTGATAAGTGATTCGTTTTTCTAAAACCCTAAAAATGTCTAAACGCCAAGATTTAAGTTTGAAACAGAAGTGCGAGTTATTAAAGTCATACGATGTGCTTCCAAAAATTAGTTTACGTGATGCCGCAGCTCATTTAAACGTTTCTCATTCCACATAAAATAGGATTTTAAAAGATCGTTCGAATATTGAACCCGCAACAATGGAAAATGAGAGTGGTAGTCGAAAAGATTCAAACTGAAGAAGAGATTTGTAATGTGATATTGAATTTTAAAACAATTGAACAAACCAATACTGACGACGAAGAAGAAGACAACGAGGCAGCACTACTCCTATGAAAATATGGTCATGGAGTTACTCAATAAAAAAAAACAAACCGATACACTTATTTTAAATAAAATATTTGATTAAGTTATAAGGCTTGACTTTTTATGTATTAATTATAAATTTTTCATTTTTTTTTATAGTACAAATTAAATTAATCGCTTATTAGAAACAATCGGTTAATTGACATATATTTCCTTGGTCCCAAAGTGTTCATATTAAGCGGTTTCTACTGTATTATAAATTGATTTAGTACACAATAAATCATTAATCATGAAAGCAATTAAAAAATCTATTATAATTTTAGCTTCGATGCGAAGCGGAGAAGGTATTAATTTTACTATGTTTGTTTTTTTTTATGTCTGTTGCCACTTTTTCTCAGCTCTCACTGGACCGATTTCTTTCAAAAATACGTCAAAAGATCACAAATCGTATCTAGTTGAAGACATTACCCTTAAAAATTGAAAAAAATTCCCTCGTTCCCCGCAAATGGGGGAAATATCCAAAAAAATTACAAATTTAAAAATCGCTAATTTTCGAAATTTTTTCACTTTTTTTTCTTAAAACTTCCATAACTTTTTGAAAAATCAACAAATCAACATAATTTTTTTTTATACTAAAACCTTAGATATTTACCTTTCATTTGATATCATTTTTTTGAAAATCTATCACTTAACCTGCTCATTGGGGGGGATTTAAAATGGCAACTTTTTTACAAAAATTAATTTTTTCAACTTAATTTTTGAAAATGTTCCGGAAAGACTGCGTCCTTTAAACATATATCAAATTAAAGCTTATTTTATGTACTACAAAATGAAAAAAAAAAATTTGTCCCGACACTTTTTTTTCTACATTTAAACGGCTGCCGTAGTTAAAAAAACACTATTTTTGTGTTAAAATTTTCGATTTTCGATTTTAAATTTTCAACTTAAAAATGCTATAACTTTTTGAAAAATGTATATATCAGCACAAATTTTTTTTTTCTAAATACATTATAAGTACATCTTTCATTTGACATACTTTTTATTAAAATTGGACAATTTCCCCTTATATAGGGGGCGTTCAAAACTTAAAATATTGTAAAAAACATAGATCTTTTTCAACTGAACTTTTGAAAATGTTCCGGAAATACTGCGTCCTTTAAACATATATCAAATCAAAGGTTATGTTATATACTATCAAATGAAAAAAAAAAATTTGTCCCGACATCTTATCTTCTATGTGCAAATGGCTGTCGAAAATTTAAAAAAAAATGTAATGTTTGCGATAAAAATTACATTTTATCGGGATGTTTTTTGTACTTAAAACTGCCATAACTTTTTCAAAAATGAACAAATAAAAATAATATTTTTTTGTATTGAAACCTTAGATATTTCCCTTTCATTTGATATAATTTTTTTTGAAAATCTAACACTTATTCTGCTCACTGGGAGGATTTAAAATAGTAACTTTTTTACAAAAAATAACTTTTTCAACTTAATTTTTGAAAATGTTCCGGAAATACTGCGTCCTTTAAACATATATAAAATTAAAGCTTATTTTATGTACTACAAAATGAAAAAAAAAAATTTGTCCCGACGATCTATCTTCTATACGCAAATGGCTACCATATTGAAAAATATACTATTTTTGTATGATAATTATGGGTTTTGTATTTTATTTTAATAGAAGTTGATGTTGCTTTTGCAATTATCCATCAATTTTTTAAAATTAAACACTATCTACAGATTTGCATCGAAGCGTTTCTTATGATAGTGATTTTAATCACTGTCAGATTAAATCTATACTGGACCCTACTATGCAATGTCTCCACTATGCCGCGACCCCACTCTACTACCGTTTTTTTAAAATTAAATTTATCACTTCCAAGTTTTTTTAAATAAAATTTCTTTAATAAACAAAATTGTTTTTTTTTTATGTATACAAATCAAGTCTTATTTTAAAATAAATACTTACAGACTTTGGTAAAGGTTCTAGAGTATACAATTGTTCATCCATTCTTAAAGCTAAAATTTTTTTTTAATGATAAAAGGTAAAATAATTAAAAATGCTGGCATGGTCAAGTATAAAATTAAAAAAAAAAATTACATTTGTCAGGTTGAATTCCATCAACATCCATAGTATTGTCATCTGCTACTTCCTCCTTTAATTTGAGTTTTGCATCAATAAATGCCAATTCTCCATTATGACCTTTTTTAAAATCAATAGTTGAAAGAAGTGTATCAGTTAAGCACACCTAAATATTGAAAAACATTTTAAAAAATATTTTTAATTTTTAGCTTTCACACAATTTTTTACTTGATAAATATGTGACTCAGTAGTAACATTTAAGCACTGACCAACTTTAGGTGCAAAAACTTTACTATCTGAAAATACTTTAGTAAAATTTGAAACCGTCTTGGTACTCGTTGCAGTACCACGTATTAACAACAATCGCCTGGGCCTAAGTGAAAGTATTATTTGTTTTAAAGATTCGCCATCAGAACGTCCTTCAAAATCAATATGAGAAATCTTTGCAACAATGTGTATAGTTTGTTCGTATTCCACACATTTAGATGGAAGATCATAAGGATCAACTTCTTCTTCATCATCATCAGGCTTATTGTTTTGACCATCTGGATTCAAATCATCTGCATAACTCATATCAAATTTTATGAAATCTTCCTGCCTAAAAACAATATGAAATAAATAAACAAATTAAAAACTAAAACACAAAACAATACTTTATTATTTCTCCATAGGCATCAAATTTGTATTTTTCTTCATAATAGGGAAATATAGGGGCAACCTCTTTTTTTGTAAATTTAGCGGAAATTGATTGGTCAATATCTACTAATAAATCGTGTTTACCTCTCATAGGTACAATTTCATCTTCTGAATCAGAACTCTCTGGAGCACTAGGAAACAGTATTATAATATAAAAAACTAAATTTACAGAGTGAAAGTTGAAATCCTTAATTAAATTATTTATTAATAACAAAATAAATGAATTATAGAAGAGTAATATCTAAAATATGGTTGAAGTATTGATTTTCTTAAATAAATTTATTTAGTCATAATATCTACGTGTTCAGGGTATAAAATATTAAAATTATATATTATATAATAGTATGGCAAAAATACATTACTAAATGATTATTATAAATTAAATGTATTCTTTTTCAAGTTTAATACAAATAAATTATTTTTGAATATAAATTCATTTTCTTTTTAACTCAAATTTATTGCTATATAAAAACTTTATAAATTTCTCAAACAAAACTAGTTTTAATATAATTTATTTAACCTAAGAATTTAAAAAAATTGAGAAAATAACAAGTATTAATAGAGAACTCATGAGATCATATATTTTTCAAACACTGGATAAGTTTAACAAATTATGTGTCATGTTCAAAGAAAAAATACTAAATAAATGAAATATATGAAAACTAGTAAGAAAAACCATAAGAATACTAAATAACAATTCACACTATGAGTCCAGGAATGCCATATCTCAAAAAGACATTTCAATACAAAAAAAATCATGTTTTTAGTATTTATATTAAGTTTAAGTTAAATTTTATATAAGTAACTTACATACTTTAATAGAGAATAATAAATTAAACTGCATTATAAGAATATGTTTGATATAATGTCAACTGCATTTAAATATTTTTTAATTAGAAAAAAATGTAAAATCGTGTAAAAAAAAGGAAATTTTTTAATAAAGGTTCTTTTTGTGTTATGGCCCATTTTATAAATTCTGTATCAATTTTATTTGAGTCTTTATTTTGTTCAAAATATCATTAAGACAAGTTAATACTATTCTTTAAATAATGATTAAAATAAAAATATCAATACATTTTTTTAAAAGCAAAAATTAAAATTTAACTAACTTACTTTTTATCAGTATCTAATATCTTAGTGTTATGTTTTCTGTTATATTCTTCTAGTTCTCTACCTTCTAATGGTATTCTTTTCTTAATTCTTAATTTTAAATTCCTATTACCACCACGATCAATTAAATCGCGTGCTAATGTACCAGGAGCAGTTCTAGAAATTTAAAAGAAAACAAGTAAATTTAAGGATTGCATAAAAAATACAACAAATTTTTAAAGATTAATTATTTAAATTTACCTATGGGTAAGAATAATACTATTTTTTGGTTTAGATGACCACATAAGAAAAACTTCACGAGAAAATCCACATTCTAAATCAGCATTGCTGGCTAATACAACCTGTAAATTGTTTGAAATTAAATTAAGATAGAAAATAAGATATTTCATTAATACTTTAGGTTCTGGAACTTTATTCAAATCATTCATGTTATGACATAATTTAACATGTTTAAAAAAAAAAGGATTGTTTCTTGCTCCTTCAAAACTTTTCATTAATTTATCACTCATCCATTCGATCTGAAAATAAATCATGCATGGATAAAAACGAAATTTTAAACTAAAAATGATGTTTCATAACATACTTGTGATTTAGCAAATTCAACAGTGTTATAGCTAACATTAGTCAAAAACACTAAAGAATAAACAAAAAGACCCGATTCTTTATTTCGCCATAATTGATCTAACATGTGCATCAGTTCAAGAACTCGACCAGCAGTATCAATTGCTATTAAGACATTACCTTTATTACGTAGAGTAGTTAAAATATTGGCTAAAAAAAAAATAAAGGTCTTATCAATTTTTCTAATAAATTTTATTAAATGGCAATAGATAAAAACTAAAATCCTGATCTACTTTAAACTCTTCTAGAAGATCTATCAGAAGACTTTTTTTTAGATCAATAAAAGCTATATGCATCTTCTTTTTTCTTTTCAATTCTAAGTAACTAAATATAGTTTATAAAAACGTTCCTTTAAAAACACAATACTTTATTTTTTAATAACTACAATTAATTAACTGTTTAATAAATGGAATATTTTATAAGACTAACTATTGTATTTTTAATACTAATTTCTTCAANAAACTCTTCTAGAAGATCTATCAGAAGACTTTTTTTTAGATCAATAAAAGCTATATGCATCTTCTTTTTTCTTTTCAATTCTAAGTAACTAAATATAGTTTATAAAAACGTTCCTTTAAAAACACAATACTTTATTTTTTAATAACTACAATTAATTAACTGTTTAATAAATGGAATATTTTATAAGACTAACTATTGTATTTTTAATACTAATTTCTTCAATTAACAATGAACTAATAACAGTTCTTATTTCAATATATCTAATTCTCACAGCTTATATTTCTTCTATTCATAGTAATTAATTTAATTAATATTATTTTTTGAAAAAAAAACATACTCATTAAGGTTTCATCTCTTGATCTACGTCTAGCTTGTGAGTAAGCTGCATTAAAACAATCTAAAATTAATAATGATGGACGAGTAAGTTTTTCCAAATCGCTTCCATTCAAATGTCTCTCTTTTTTATGATTAAAGTCAATTGCATAAACAATATCTTCTTCGCCTACTTTTGATATCTTCCAAATTGTTCCACCTACCATATTACCGGCTGGTAGGGCAACTATACTCATTCCAATTCCTTTACCTAAATCAAAATACAATCAATATAATAAAATTTTAAATTTAAGAATTATTAAATTACCTTTTAGTGTAATAATTTGATTAAATTTAACTTGAACAACTTTATCAAAAGCAGCATCAACATCATCCAAATTAAAAAGATCAAAATCTTCCATATTGTACATGGACTGTAAAAATAAATTTCAAATCATAATTTTCTCTATAATACCCATATTAATAATGACAGAAATATGAATCTAATCTAAGAAAATCTTATAAAAAAATTTTTATTTATTAAATTTTTAACTATTTATGGTAGCGAATTTGATCAGTTTTTCATAGAAAACTACTTTTGCCAACAATTAAAATGATTATTTTATAATTAGAACTACTTACTTGATACAAGTCATACATAAACATCTGACCCATTTGGTAAACTGGAATAGTGGCATAGACAGGACAATTTAGACCACATTTACCAACAAGGTATGGAAGAGCGCCTAGATGAAAGCGATCAGGATGTGATAATAAAACCGCATCAATTTGATGTATATACCTACCACAAAATCATTAATTAATAAAAATTCTTAATAATGCGCCTCTCATTAAAAACCTCTTTAATTTGTTAATTAAACCCATGTTAAAACGTTCGTCCCATCCACAATCTAATAAGAATTTAAATTCATCAATTTGTAATAAGTAACAAGGAGGCGATTCATCCATAGCACCCGATAACGTATAAAATTTAATAATGGATGTCATTTTAAACAATTTAATAGTAAGTTCTTCAAGGGCTACAGGTAATGTATTATATTTGTAGTCGTTTAAGGGATACAATAATTATAATCAATTCATTGTACAGAAATCAAATAGCAATTGCCAACAGGTCCTAATTATAGATTGTATTATAAATTATTATTCACTAATCACACTTAATAGAATACTAAATAACTTTAGATAATGACAAAAATAATTAAAATTAAAAGGCATCATCTTAATCATTCTCCATAACGTGAGAAATTGTTACTTATCAAAACGAAGAAAAATGATAACTCAGGGACTAGAACCAAACAACTACGTGAAATGAATATTATATAAGTATGGATGTATAGATAGTGATAAGAATTTATGGATAACAACTCGTCAAATCATAATCTCTTTGGTATCAACATTTTTTTACAGATGAAATTAAAATATTGTAAATTAAATGAAACATTTAATTGGTGATTTTACTATATAGCAGTCACTAATTCAGAAATGAATTTTTTATGGAAGTCACTAAGTATAGTTTAATGATTTTAAAACCTGTTTCATTTACACTACACATTTAAAAAAAATCTTTTTAATTTATGTAGTCCATATGAACAATAATTCAAGCTATAAAATTGTGATTTAGAACTTATTTTTTGGGTTCATTACTATTTTTCTTAGACCTGCTTTTGTTACTCAGTATAATGCGAATCATACGTTCAAATTTTCCACTCCTCTTCCCCGTTAATAAATGATTTAAGATTATATATATTTTTATAAAAATATTTCTTTAATAAAGAAGTAATAAAATTAGCCACTTTGATTTTTTTTAAATTTTACTTGCTTTTAAGTATTTCAAAAGCTAATTACTTTAAGTTTGTAAATTTCGCAATGAATACCTGGGTACTACAAGCATCATCTGCGAATAAGCATTTTTAAAGACCTTATGAATTCTTTTATGAATATTAGGGTAGTCCTTATTTAATCAATTATCAAAATACGAAAGTCTTTACTCTGCATTTTGTTATTTGAAGTAAATAAAACAACTTTGGTAAATTTTGAGTGTTCTAGGTTAACATACCTTAAAAGATTTGAAAATTAAAAAAAAAGTTTTAGTTTTTTTTTATGTCTTTTTAAATATTAAAGATAACAGGAAATATATAGAATCAACCTTGTATGGTGAAGCAGGGTATTCTACGCCCGTTTCCAGCCACTTGGAAGAGTCAAAGTAAATACTACAATGTAACGTTCACTATGAGTACTGATCATTTCTTTCGTGGTCAAGTCACCTTTTATATTTTAAGATTACAGCAATAACAACTTAATACGAGGTTAATATTTATAAATCAGAAAACATCATTAAAATATAATCTTAACATTTAAATTAAAAGACTATTAAGAGTTAACACATTAAAAATGCCGTTTATGACACTAGTAAGAAAACATGTTAGCAAAAAATAGCATAAGGTCTTTAGATAAATGTACGTACAGGTGGGGCAGGGTAACGGAAAATTTTATATAACTCTCATAAGTGTTTTAAAAAATTATTTTAAATATTTATTATGGAAATATGCCATTCAAAGTTCAAAACACTAAAATCCCATGTTCAGAAAATAATGTCAATAAGATGGTGTCAGTTTCTCTGAATGCATTCTTGAAATCGTGCGTAGAGTTTTACATAACTTTCGTGACATCTCCATGGGAATCAAAACAATTTTTAATTGAATTTTTGTTTTCAATTGGAGAAAAGTGTTATTGGATGAATGTTGTATACTTTACTTTTAAGATGGTCTCCAAAGAAAAAATCATAAAGATTTTCAGGTGTCCTATACCAGTATTCTACTTATTTACATATCTATTGACATAAAAATAAGCCTCGTCTGATAACAACAGACTATCAATAAAAGCGGGGTTACCATTAAATATTTCTATCACTTTCTCACAAAACTGAAATCGTTCACGTAATTTGTTAGTTTCAGTTCTTACAGAATTTGAATATACATATGCTTTAATTTAAGATAACTATAAAAGTGTCAGTAATTCTGGAATACTTTCAAAAATTAAATTGAAAAAGTTCTACTTTCTATATGCATTTTTAAATTTTGAACCCCTCCTATATTAAGGGCAATGGTCAGATTTAAAAAAAAAGTATGTCAAATGAAAGAATAAATATTATTTCTCATAAAAAAATTGTATTGATCCATACATTTTTCAAAAAGTTATAGCATTTTAATGTTAAAAATGTAAAATATAAAATCGAGAAATTTAACACAAAAATAGTATACGGTAGCCATTTTCACCGTGAAAACAAAATTAAGTCCCAAATTTGTTTTTTTTCATAATAAAGTATATTACATAAGCTTTAATTTAAGGTATATATAAAAGTGTCATTATTTCAGGAACACTTTAAAAAGTTAAGTTAAAAATGTTAATTTTTTGTGAAAAAGATGTCATTTTTAATCCTCTGCCGTGGACAGGTAAAGGGTCACATTTACAAAAAAAATATATCAAATAGGTAAAGACATTAAACATCTATAAAAAAATTACATTGTTATAATCATTATTGAAAAGGTTATGGCAGTTTTAAGTAAAAAAAAATTGGAAAAATATCGAAAATTAGGGATTTTTAAATTTGTAATTTTTTTGGAGATTTCCCCCATTTACGGGGAACGAGGAAAATTTTTTAATTTTTGAAAGTAATGTCTTCGACTAGATACGATTTGTGGTCTTTTGACGTATCATTAAAAGAAATCGGTTTGGTGAGAGCTGAAAAAAATTGGTAAAAGACACAAAAAAAAATAAAAAAAAAAAAAAAAAACACATCATAGTAAAATTAATACCTTCTCAGCTTCGCATCGAAGCTAATAAGTTTAAAATAACATGAAATGTTATCTTTATATTTATGTGAATGGAGGAAACAATTGTTACTTATTCCTTAAATAAATTAAAGAATTTTTTTTAAAAGTTGTACAGAACCGTTAAACAATAAAAAAATTCAACCTAAAAAAATTTAAAAATTCTATTCTAAAAGTTGTTATCAACCAGCCATTTTTTCAGTTTATTCAATTATTTTCTATTTTATAAGTTAGATAATATTTATATTATTATTTAAAAAAATTAAGTTGACATCCTAATAAGACATAAGGGATGAACATAAAAAATATTTTATAAAAAGAAATTGATATTCATATGTAACTAACAAAGTGAAAAAAAATATTATTTTAAAAGAAATCGAGTAACTAGCGTTAAACAAATTATACATATAATACACATATAAATACATATACATTTAATGACTAATAAACACAAAAATAGTTTGTCATATCTATAAATTAGTTATAATAACTTGAAACATAAAAATGTTAGTGATAACATGTTCTCAGTGTTTATTCGTTTGTTATTATTGATAATATTTTATGATAAATTATTATATGTTCGTTAAAAAATTATTAACTAAATTTGAGATATTAAAATTTTTGATGAATAAAAACTGTATTTTATAAATATTTAAATATTTTCTTTTTTCGTTCCCTATTTAGATGTCTTTTATAAATTATGAAATTACGATTAAAAAAAAAAAATTGAGGTATACTTATTCTTTCAAATTGACATCTCTTAAATTAAGGTGCTCTATATCATAAACCTACAATATGAATAGATAAATTTTAATTATATGTAAAATATAATAAAAATGATTAATTAACTTGAGTGTCTATTTAATTAAAGCGCGTTAAAAAAATTAAATTGATAGAAATATCATTATACACAATATTCAATTTTTAGTGAAATAAATACAATGTCATTAAATTTAATGTATAAATCTTTTATGTATTAAAAAACATCATAAATATTATTGTAAGATGAAATTATTAAGATATTTATGATTTAATTTGGCCTCTAGAGTTATTGTAAATGCTAACCTCTTATTTGTATAAGCTGAATTCATCAGATGTGTTATCTGAAATATTGCATTTGGTGATAGTAAATGACTTTGCCGCGTAAATTAACAAATAAAAATCATGAAGTCTTTGTACGTGTATTCATGTCCTCGCCCCTTTTTCCCGGTGGGTGGTATACTGTAATAATTGTGTAGTGGAGTGTAATACAAAGTGCGATTGAATTCTACATGTCGCCATTTAATGTTTAACGGCTGAAAGTGTTGGCTGTGTTCAAATTTTACTGATTTTATTGTTATACAGTTGAAATCCACTAACATTTTTGAAGAAAATCTCAATCAATTAATTTAACTTGTACAATGAATTCCATCATTAATAAAGAAAATGTTATTGACACACCACAACATTTGGTAAAGTTTTTTGTTCAAGTTTTTAAAACGTGTATGCGTTTAATTAGAAGAGTAGTCTTTGTTTTTTTGGCGCCAAAAGTATTTTGGTTAAGTTAAAGACCTTATAAAGTTTCATAATTTGATGATATTATTTAAATTCTCATACTGTTTTCATAACTTGTTAATAATCTTTTTAATAATAAATCATTTTTAATATAAATCTAAATTAAATATTGGCTTATCTTAATTTTAAGAGAATTCAATTAATTTATGTTGAATTAAGAAGTTAAAAAGTTGTGTTATTTATGTGTACTTCCTAATTTATTATTTTATAGTTTAGAGATTTATTAAGGTCAAAATTTTCAAAGGGAACCAGGAAAATGACCTAGTTGCCCTTTAACAACATTCTAACATTTTTTCATAGAACAGTTTTTCATTTGAATACATGTAAAATATATATAATTAATTTGCTGATGTTTTTGTATATATAGCAAAATGAATTTCATAAAGGTAAATCGATCAAATCTCCTATTCAAGTATTAAATGAAGTACATACAAATATATTGGTAAAATCAAGATCTCAAGAAAATGTTCAAGTATTAAATTAATAAATTGTATTTAATTACAATATAATAAAATTGTTAATTTGCTATAGGTGTCTGAATTCATGGATTCATTGGCCAAATACAGAACTAACTTTGATAGCGCCATGGAACCATTGCTTAAAGATAACCCTAGACGATTCGTTATCTTTCCTATTATATATGATGATATATGGGCTATGTACAAAAAACAGGAAGCATCATTTTGGAATGTTGAAGAAGTAAACTTGAAAAATGTAAACTAAATATAACATTATATTCTGTACATATTTTTAATATGACTATTTTTATAGGATCTTGATGATTGGGTAAAATTAACAGATGATGAACGTCATTTCATATCACATGTATTAGCTTTTTTTGCTGCTTCTGATGGAATTGTAAATGAAAATCTTGTTGAAAGATTTTCTCAAGAAGTCCAAATAACTGAAGCTCGTTGCTTCTACGGTTTTCAAATTATGATGGAAAATATTCATTCTGAAATGTATAGCCTTTTAATTGACACATATATTCAAGACCCAAAGCAAAAGTAAGTTAAAAATATATCATTCTAGTTTATAACCTTTAATTAATGTTTGATTTTTTAGGGACTTCTTATTTAATGCAATAGAAACAATGCCTTGTGTAAAAAAAAAGGCAGATTGGGCCCTTAAATGGATTTGTGACAATCAGGCAACTTTTGGTGAAAGACTTGTTGCCTTTGCTGCTGTTGAAGGAATTTTTTTTTCAGGAAGTTTTGCTGCAGTATTTTGGTTAAAGAAAAGAGGACTTATGCCAGGTTTAACTTTCAGTAATGAACTAATTTCTAGAGATGAGGTAAGTATTTAAAACTTTATTTAATAATATTTATTTTTGTTTGATTAAATATAGTTTCCTACAGTTAACCTGTATTAATAATTAAGCTATTGGAAATTAATTTGCTTCTTACTGGTAGATTACTTTTTAATATATTAAAGTTGTATCAGGTTGTAAAAATCCTATTTGTAAGATAGATCTAAACCCAACTAGTCAGGATAGAGGCTAAGGATATGATAATGATGATATTTTTAATTAATTATTTGTATACCAATAATTTATAAATTTATCATTTTTAACAAAATTTAATATAGTTCTAAATTTGTTTTGATGCTGAAAATCAGTGTTGACTCCATATATACTTCCGGTGGTTCTAGTCCCTCATGACCATTTTAGGGTTACAATGATATGGTTATTTTAGAAAATTTACAAAATGGTCCGGTTAATATTGAATTGAAAAATGTTTTCTTTTTTAGGTATTCCTAATCATCTTGTTTTTTTTTAGTAATTTTATTTAAAAAAAAACATCTTATGAATGCATTAATGTTTTCAAATACTTCCTAGAAAAAAATGTATTAAAGATATATTAATTATAAATAAAATTTTAATTTCAACTTTTTTTTTTATATTATTATTATTGATAAGCTAATTTATTTTAGATTTCTGTATTCATGTAATAGGTTTTCTGGTGGTGATTAGATATGCTTAGTAATCCCAAAACTAAAAAAAATATTCTCTACCAAAAAATTTAAACGCCTTTCATTTGTACAAATGTATTTATATATATAACCAAATCTTATAAAATATACTGTACTGTGTTAAGAAACCCCTAGCATATTTATGATATTAAGTATTTCATATTCATAGGATATATACTTAATTTTTTAGGGATTACATACAGATTTTGCATGTCTTTTGTTTAAACATTTAAATCAAAAGCCACCTCAAGATGTTATTATAAATATTATTCGAGAAGCTGTAACTATTGAACAAGATTTTTTAACAAATGCATTACCAGTTAAAATGGTTGGTATGAACTGTGAAAAAATGGCTACATACATTGAATTTGTTGCTGATAGATTATTAACAGAATTAGGATGTCCAAAGGTAACATTAATATTTAAGTAAATATAGTACATGAAAATTTAAACCATAAACATATTTTTTCTAGATTTTCAAATCATCTAACCCATTCCCATTTATGGATCTCATATCTCAACAAGGTAAAACTAATTTCTTTGAAAAAAGAGTTGGTGATTATCAAAAAGCATCTGTTGCCATCCCAGACATTCCTAATATTGCAACTATGGACATTACAAATGAAGATTTTTGAAAATGAAATTCTTTTGTGAAGATTTTTATTTATTGAACCCCATTAAATAGTTATCTCTATGGTATTAAATTTTATGTGTTATTAAAAATTATTCTATGTTTGTACTTTAAACTTACTATATCTTATGGATAGTCTTATTTTTTGCTTAACAATTAGTTAATTATTTTACACTAATTAAAAATAATGTATTGGGTTTTTACTTGTTCTCTATGTTAATTTCTTTTTTAGGTATAATTTTGAACTGATTCAATTATTTGAAAACCAATAATTAAAAATATGTGTATATTTATTTAATAACAATTGTAGTAATGGTCTACATTTTTATTTGGACAAATTATTTTAAATAAAATTCTGTATATATAGTTTTATAAGTGAAGATTTTTATAATAAAAATGTGATGTAAAGTAAGATAGTATCTTTGTGTTTTATGATTCCATATTATTTCTGAGGTATTTTTGTCCTAACCATTCATGTCAAACTAGTTTGACTTAATATTGAGTGTTAACAATTGGTTTAAAATTCCAGGCAAATACTAAATTAAATATAGATTAGTCCATTACTAGTTAATATACATTGATAGATCTACTCAGATAGTACTTAAACATTTACTATTGAATAATTTAGACTCTAGGATTAAATATATATTTATCAATTCTTTTTTCCACTTTCTAAAGAAAATATTTGATTTTATATATATAATTTCATTCTTTAATTATGCTGAAATTGTCCCAGGAATAGTCTATTACATTTTTTAAAGAGTAGTAATTTGATATTGACAAATTAAATCTCTCCTGAGGTATTATATGAAAATTTTGGTTTATGTTTATAATTTTTATGTATTTAATTTATTAAACAATTTATTCAGTGAGGTAATGCAATCTTAAATTTAGAGCATTAACATTAATAAATGTAACAAATAATTTTTTTTTAATACAAAAAAATATTCTGAAATTTCTACTATGAGAATAGTCAAGGTACTTGAAGTAACAAAATCTAATAATGACATGTTTAAAAGATGTCTAACTAGTGATTTAACAAAATTCAAAGTTTTTGGAAAATATTACTGGAAAAAAATAATAACAGTTTATATAATTTTAATTGAAATAACAAATTACATTTATCATTATAAATTATAATATAAAAACAAAATACTTTTTAAAATAAAACAATTGACGTTTCATTGTGTTAGGCTTATAACAAACAATTGTTGAAAACTTAAAAATGAAAATAATTATTAAAACTTTGATTGAAAATAAATATTACACCATATTTAAGTTACTATTTAAAAATGTGATATAGTCTAAATTTTTTGGTGACTGCCTATTTCTACGAGTATTAGTTAACAATCCAGCTTTGGAAAATACTCTCTCCCTTGGAACTGAAGTTGCAGGAAGTCATAAATATTTTAATTGCAGTTTGTATAACTCAGGGAAAGTATATTTATGTTGCTTCCAAAATTCTAAGCAATTTTTTCCACGTTGCAAATGAAGATATTCATTTCATTCATTCTTCATTCAATGAAGATAATCTAGATATTGACGAATCATTAATGTTGCACTAATATTAGGGCGAATAATACTTCTCACTTTGCTCCCACACTATCGAACGTTCCTGATCGCATTTTAAAAAACTCGAATTTCCAATTCGTATACGGAATAGTGTATACAGTTTAATTCATAAAAATGTACGATGAATTTTTGTTTCGATAAAAGTATAAAACCATATAATATTATGACGTTTCGTGTACTACTACGTTCTGATTGTGCAACGCGTTGTCCATATTATAAAATAATAGGGATGGGTAATTCGTGAGTGAGTCAACTCTTTGAGTTGACTCTTTTAGGTGAACTGAATGAGCTGAATCAGTGTGCCATGGTACTGTGACTCAATGACTCAGTGTGGACTACTAAAAATTGAAATTAGTTTACAACGTCTTATCAATAAATTCTGAATCATGCGAATTGTGATATATAGATTTAACCTACAGAAGTAGAAGTTGATGGAGTAATATTTGGGTCATCAATCGTCTCTTCTATTACATGAGTCTATTTAATAAATTTACTAATGTATGCTTAGATTTAATATGTCTAATTAAATTTGAAGTCGAAGAATGATTATGTTTTAATTTTATACGACAAAGTCCACACTTTACATGAATATTAACTGCTTCAAGTTGAAAAAAATCCCAAATAACACTTGATTTATTCTATTTAAAATGAAATAAAATACCTTCTTAAATTAAATAAAGTGTTTCAAAATTTTCGATTTTGTGTACAAGATTTATTGTAATCACAGGACACAGCGTTGACACAATGAGTAAAATTTTAAATAAATGAGACTAGATTATACATAATATGTCAGTTTTTAGGACAATATTCATTCAAGAATAGACCTGTAATTGCATACAAGAAAATGTTGAAATATACGAGAGAAGAGACCTATTTTTCTCACTGCATGCACTAAACATTAAACATTGATAATACCTACATTGTATTTGTATACCTAAATTAACACATAAATAAATCTATGTGTTGATGTTAATAATAAAAAAATAGTTTTTTTAGATTTTAAATTTACTCTTTATTTCAATAATAATTAATATATTTAAATATAATTAGTAAACATATTAAACAATTTAATAGAAAAATATTTTATAAATATCAAATAACCAAATAAATTACTTTTTGTGTAACTATTGGGTATGTATTGAGAATCTAAAATTTTAACAGAAGAAAAAAGGAATCAAACTATTGAATGATTAGAAATTTTAACTTAAAATTAGCTCAACCATCTTATAGGTAAAAATCAGGGTTTGAGACCCATTATCTCATAAAATTATTAATTAGTAATAACCAACTACTTTTTCCATAATGTACATACAATTTGAATTTGATTCTCATTTCTTTCGCGCTTTAATTTAATTTCAATATATATAAACAAATAATGAATAAAAAATCACTATCATAAAAAACGCTTCGATGCAAATCTGTTGATAGTGTTTAATTTAAAAAAAAAAATTTGTCAAAAAAGTAGGTCTAATGAGAGATGAGAAAATAAATGATAGCTACAAAAAAAAAACACATAGTAAAATAATATTAATATGAATTTCTTCTCACGAGAGGAGACTACAGTAATGGAATCCTTGATATTTATTGAAGTTATTGAATCTAAATGAGATAAAAATCAAATTATTTGAAGATTTTATTCTAACACAAAAAAAATGCAAAATTTTATTGGCCACAGACGGATTTGAACCTCGCATCCTAGGCATGTAAAAAACAAGTGTTACCGACTCGGCAACAGTTCGTAGCTTTCGTGACATGAAAAAATTGGCTAAACATTTTTTTTAACTCAAAAAGAATTAAAAAAAAATTCATTGCCACAGTCGTAAAAGACCCAAGTGTTACCGTCTCAAAAACAGTACGTCTCATTCGTCACTTAATAAAAATGGAAATTTAGCTAGTTCAAATTTTAAAGTTATTTTTCTCACTTCAAAGAAACAAAAAAATTTAAATATGACTAATTTTAGCTTCGATGCGAAGCTGAGAAGGTATTGGTTTTACTATGTTTTTTTTTTTTTTGTGTCTGTTACCACTTTTTCTCAGCTCTCACCGAACGGATTTCTTTCAACGATACGTCAAAAGATCACAAATCGTATCTAGTCGAAGACATTACCCTTAAAAATTGAAAAAATTTCCCTCGTTCCCCGTAAATGGGGGAAACCTCTAAAAAAATTACAAATTTATAAAAATCGCTAATTTTCGAATTTTTTTCAATTTTTTTTACTAAAAACTGCCGTAACTTTTTCAAAAATGAACATATCAATATAATTTTTTTTTTTATAGATGCATGATGTCTTTACCTTTCATTTGGTATATTTTTTTTTTATATGTGACCCTTTACTTGCCCACAGGAGGGGATTCAAAATGACAATTTTTTCACAAAAAATCAATTTTTTCAACTTGATTTTTGAAAATGTTCAGGAAGGTCTGACACTTTTATATATCTTAAATTAAAGCTAATGTAATATACTTTATCATGAAAAAAAAAATGTTCGGACTTTATTTTATCTTCACGGTGAAAATGGCTACCAAATGCTATTTTTGTGTGAAAATGTTCGATTTTGTATTTTACATTTTTAATTTTATTATGCTATAATTATTTGAAAAATGTATGGATCAACACAATTTTTTTATGAGAAAAAATATTTTTTAATAATCCCTCTTTCATACGACATACTTTATCTTAATCAGGATATTAATATAAGGAACTAGCAGATCATATAGCTTTTGGAATAATCCACCAATTTTTTAAAATTAAACAATATTTAAAGATTTGCATCGAAGCGTTTTTTTTTTTATAGTGATTTTAATCACTGTCAGATATCATTATACATCATAACTGGTCTCATTACAATCTTGTAGAATTTACCTTTCAGCCTCATTGGAATTCTTTTATCGCATAAGATGCCAGACGCTTCTCTTCACTTCAACCACCCACACTTAATTCTGTGTCTTACATCCTCGTCAATACCACCACTCTTTTGCACAACTGATTGATTAAAATCACTATCATTAGAAACGCTTCGATGCAAATCTGTAGATAGTGTTGAATTCTAAGTAATTGTTGGATAATTACAAAAGCAAAATATTTTTAATTATATATAATATAATTTTTACAATTAATTCTTTTCAAATTATTATTGATTTTTATTTTTAATATGTTAAAAGTAATAATTTCGTCCTTTAAAGTGAAAGTTTATAATAAATAAAAATGAATTTATTACCATAACTTTTAGCTCAATTTACAAGTTTGAAATTGACATCATTAAATCGAAAAAAATAAAATTGTTAAGATTAACATGCAGTCAGCAAATTTTATAATTACTATTTACAGTAAATTTATTAGAAAACCTCAATTTTTTTTTCATTTTTATCGTATAGATCATGTGCGCGCCCAGGATGTTTGTTTGGGAGGGGTTTAAACATTTTCCTTACACACAATAGAAAGCAATTACTATTCATTTTTTAACATTTTTATTATTATTATTACTACCAAAAATTACATAGCATGCTGTATTTAATATTTTCAATAAAATATTATGACCAATTAATTTAAAATATAATTTTTCTGGGTCCCTTTTCAAATAGAACTGGTAATACTTCGGAATCTTTAATTTATATTTCTCGATGTATGTGAAGATTTGCCAGTCCATTTAATCGTGATTGTTCCATAGTATTTTTGAGGTAGGTTTTAATTTGCCGTAGTGTGGAAAATGATCTCTCAGCCGTACTTGTACTTACTGATAAAATTGCAAATATTTTCAAAAGTATAAATACTGATTCAAATATTTTTAAATCACGTAAATTTAAACCATCGATTGCGTTTAGCGGTAAAGTATAGCAACCATTTT